TCAAATTATTTGATATTCTAAGCAAATTAATTTTTTCTGGTTTGGCTTTTTTTAAGTTGATGATACAGGCTATAGGTAGACTTCAAAACACTTGTTTGGTTTATTTTGGGAGGACTTCTTTGCAGAACCCTTGGAAATAATCCAGTGCCAAGGCCCTGCTCTCTGAGAGGTGTGATGTTGTTTTGGGGACACAGAGAACAGGAAGGTGAATGTCAGTGTGTGGTGACAAAAAAACTGTGATCTAACCAGGCTGGGTAGGGGATACACAACTCTGCTTACTCCCCATTTCAGAACAGAATTTTTAAAAAATATCCAACCAAATAGAATTCTAAATTACAAACAGTATCATTGCAATTAAATGATGGTTAATTCTGTAAAATATAAAAAGTTATAAATACCCATTTTCTTTGGAATGTGGGTGTTAGAATGTGAAGATGCCTTAAGACTGGCATCTTAGTATGTGTATCTACATTCACATAATTGCTAAGAAGGATCTAGAAATTTTCCAATATCATCTATAAAATTCTCTTTGAATTTATGTGCATTCAGAGTGGGGCACATCCCATGGGGAAAAAATATAAAACAGGAAAGTTAAGCTACAGCAACAAACCTGATATATCTGTAACTGCTATACACAGTTGCATTATAAAATATATGGATATTTTATAGACTAATACAGAGACAGTGATTCAAACCAGCTTTTTTACACTGTAAACTATATGCAGAAAGTCATAAATGCAGAAATTAGTGTGAGGAGGGAAAAAAATAATGGCCTTACAATATATGTACTTTTCAGACTCTGACATACTTGATTTGATTTGATCAAATACCATGACACATAATCTTATTACAGCTTGTTATGTCTTTCACCTGCCAGGATTTCTGCTCAGTGTCTTTTAAAGAACAACCCTTCAAAGAAATTGGCTAGCAGTACTAACAATCAGTACAATTATTTTAATTAAGAAGGTTGTGACTAAGGGCACTCAAAGCATTTATGATGCATGTGAAAGGTAATAGTAGAGAACTACTTTTGTATCTGAGCTTTTCAAAGGTGCCACATGTGCCTGTCTTTGTTTTTCTGCAATTTTTTTAAATGGCTGGGAAAAGTTGTAGTAAGTACAAGTAAGTGTTTATATATAGGTTTATACTCAGACCTTCACTCATGATTTTAAATTACTTGAGTTTCTCAAAAATCTTTGCCTTCAGTATTTATTTTTGTTTGGTTTATGGGCCTTGTATTGCCACAACTCCTACACAATTCACACATTTCAATTCATTTATCCATAAAGCATCCCTACAAGACAGGGAGTTGATAATAAGGTCCATGCAAAGGAGAAGGAGTTGTTCAGAGAGGAATTCTCACCCTGCAGCTCTGAGCAGAGAGGCAGATCTGTGTGTGTGACTGTTGAAATTACTGAGCAAAAGCTGTTAGCAAACAGGGAATGTAAACTGCAGAGATTTGCATGAATTAAGGTTTTCTGAGCTTGGTGTCTGGGGACAAGAGGGTTTTGTACCAGAGGAGAGGTTGATTCCCAACACTAAGAAGGGAAAACAACTGTGAAATAAAATCTGTGAGGTGGCTTTTTCTCTGGAATGTTATTTTAAATGTATTTTCTGCATCATGTGTCTCATTACAGATAATAGTGTGCCCATCTCTCAGCAGAAAGAAGGAAAAGCAATATACAACGTCAGTTGCTTCAATTTTAAAAGAAATTAAGAAAGGTCTGATTAGATGATGCTATTCAGTTATTTTGGTTATGTAAATGTTCTGAGTTAGTTCATCCCTTGTGAATAGTTTATTTAAAGCGTAATTGTTGTAGGGAAAAATTTATTTTCTCTTGAGAAAGCTTCATTGCATTAGGAACCTAAAGCTAAGTGTGTGATGGTCCCATTCCTGCAGAGCTCGGGCTGAGAGGCTCTGTTGAGGGCAGGATCCATCACTGGTTAGATTACAAATGAGGGTCCCAGCTCTCCCCTCTGCTGCCATAATCCAGAGTGCACTGGTTGAAAGAATGCTCTCTGCAGGAAACACCAGTGACCTGTTTAATCATATACATATTGTAATGATTTTATTTTTAAATATTTTAAGTGTTTTCTGATCCCCGTGAAGAGTGTTAATGTGCTGATAGCCAAAAGCCTTTTGATAAGTACCCAGTGGTTGATCTGCTCTGTTTACAAGCTCTGAGTGTCCTGGCACCTTCTCCTGCCTCTCAGCTCTGGGCCCATCCCAGAAGCCCGTGCTGTTTGTCACTTCCTGTCCCTTCTGAAGGCTTTGGAAGGGTGGGTGTTTCAACTGCTCTGTTTAAGATTGCCCATTCTAAACCTTCTTTTTCTCAGGGTACATATTTGTGCTTGGGCTGGCTTAACTCAAGGAGAGCCTAAAGCAGGGCCTTGCTCAGGATGAGCTGTCACCCAGAGAGGCCTTTCCCCAGCATCTCTTCTTTTCTGGGTGCAATCTTTTCCATCAGGCATAGTTAGCCCTGTGTTTTCCTGTGCTTTTCCATTGCTAGTTATCTTTGTTGCAGGAGCAGCAGTGCCAGTGTCACTCCAGTCCATGTGGGTAGTGGATTTTTATGGTTTTGCTGGGCTTGGTTTATTTCAGTGCCAATGTCACTCCAGTCCATGTGGGTAGTGGATTTTTATGGTTTTGCTGGGCTTGGTTTATTTCATTGCCAATGTCACTAGTCCATGTGGGTAGTGGATTTTTATGGTTTTGCTGGGCTTGGTTTATTTCATATCTATGGTGTTACTCAAGCATTCTAGTCTGAACACATTTTCATATAATTCAACCAAGTATTAACTTTAATGGAGTGTTTTTCTATAAGGGCCTTGAATTAAAATCTCTCTTTCCCTGGGGACTGCATGATAACAACTACCTACAGAATATTCTTAGCTGGAAATCTGCAAGCATGGATTTCCCTCCCTTGTGCAGGAGGAGCACTTTCTCCCTTACTCCTGGCTGAATTGTTGATTCCAAATAAACACTGGGAAGCAAGATCTGTTCAGCATTCAGCTTCATGTTTTAGTTGAGAGATTTAGCCACAATAAATGCAGACAGTGCCTGTCACTTCTTTCTGCATTGGAAAAGCCAGAGAAGAAGGAAACACTACATCTCAGGGTGCCTCTCTTGGTTGCCCAGACCACCAGAGCACATTGATGGTTTTGGCAGCTTGGGGCTCTTGCTCTTCCCTGAAACCCCACATATTCCAAAAAGAATTCTGCCTGCTGTGCTTGGGGAGGAGTTGGGTTCCTTCATCTTTGTTGTCAGTCAGTTCTTATGTTGTTCCCATATACTTGCCAAGGCTGGATTCATTTTGCCTTTGCTCAGGAGCCTCTTCCCTGTCTGTCCTTTCCTCCAGAGAGGAGGAAAGTTGCACTCACTTGAGAGTGTCCTCTATGTGTTATCTATTTGCTTCTATTTTAGGAGACAAGTATATTCCTTATTCTGATGCCAAAAGATTTTTGCTTTTTTTATCTATTTTCATATATTCCTAGCTCTGTAGACCCTTATTGTATACTTACATAGTTTCTTAGCTAGCATTCAGTACTTTTTCAGTACTTGTTAGACAGACACATTCCTGGAATCCCATTCTAATCTCTCTGCTTCAGTGAACCAAGGCCATTCTTCTACTTCCCCAGGTATGTAGACATAAAGAATGTGGGGCTAGGAGAAAGGAGGGAGGCTTCAGTAGGAGGCTGAACCAAGGGGGGAATTACTTCATTAACTGTACTTTTAATTGGGATTCTTGTCAATTATGCTAATTTGCTAAACTTATAAGTGTCATAGCCCTATATCACATGTGCATTTTGCCATAAGTGCACCTGAAGGATCCTTCAATAAACAGTAACCACCTTTATCCTTTTAATCTTTGGCTTCTGATTTCAGGGCTCAGAAGGGCATCAATTCTAATTTGATTTTTCTGTGGCCTCAGGAAAATTTCAACTGATGCTTATTTTTAATGTCTTGTCAAAGTGAGATCTGTGTTAAGACAGCTTGTGCTGCTTTAACTTCTGTGTTCCACTGTGTAGCAGAGCAGTCTGTGTGGGAGCTGTCTGACTTGGTGGCAATCCTGAGTTTTTCTGGAGTGTGCTCCCATTCTTCCATGCCATTTATCACTTCAGTGCCTTCCTGTTGCAGGCAGACCCTCCTTTCTCAAATTACTTTTTTCTTCAGTTACTGCATGCTGCCTCATTTTCTGGAATGGGCTATTACTGTTGGCCCTGCCTTGAAGTGGGCTGGTGTGGAGAGAGATTGGAGAAAGAAATTATTGCTTGTTATTTTTTCTCTGAATTCCTGTAGTTAACCTCAGAAACCTCATTTTGTCATGCAGCAGGAGCAGGCTTTTTTTTTTTTAATGGATTGTAGCTCATCTGAACAGCACTGATTCTCTCTCAAGTTCAGTGAATTTAAAAGGAAATTATATCACAAGGTTTTTTCTTTGCTAACTCTTAGGCATTGGAAAAACCTGAATCCCTGTAAGCTGGTAAGAGATCACATCTCATAAGGTTTCTTTTCATCATATACTAATTTAGTTTTCAGATCCATTAGTTAATGTCTTTGCTTATTTTCTGACAGGAGAGCAAAAGGATAGTACTGATCGGATAGGAACAAATAGGTATTTGCTTTATATTTCCTCAGTTTTTCACTGAAAGAGAAGTGTCACAGAATCATTTTACCTCACCACCTCCATATAAATGCTTCATCAGTGCCAAATAATAGAAAGTTGTCTAAGGGCACAGCCTAAAGAAAAGTACCAATTTAAACAAAAACTTCTTAGATCATTTTTCCAGTGAGCTTGATTTGAGGGAGTGATCTGAGGAGAAAATGCTCCCATTAATTAGTGGGAAGTAAGGCAAGCTAAATAACTTGGAAGAGATTTTATGTTTTGTAACCTGTGCTCTGTGATGTTTTTCATTCAGTTTTAAATTAGCTATAAGGTGTGCACCCTGCAATTTTTCAGTGTCTGAAATCTCAGAATGGACAATTTTTATCTTAACAGGCCATGGAGCAGATGTGAAATGTGTCGACTGGCATCCAACCAAGGGGTTAGTTGTGTCAGGAAGTAAAGATAGCCAACAGCCCATCAAGTTCTGGGATCCAAAGACTGGCCAGAGCCTTGCCACACTGTAAGTTCTTATGCACACACTTTTGATTTGCTTAAATATAAGCTAACTTTATAAAATACTTTCTTCATTCCCTTCGTAGCTCTTTTCCTCACAACCTTTCAGCCCTACACAGTTGCTGCACACATGAAGCTAGGGCTTTAGCTGTGCCAGAAAATCCAGAGGTTAGATGAGGACCTGGAAAATGGAGACTTTAACATTAGTTATTTAAATTTACTTTGTTCTTCATAGTCAGTCTAGTGACACAGTTCTCATTCAGACTGAGACAGGGAAAAACAAATGAGGTGTTCCATCTGCCTGATGAAAACTGTCTTATGCTGCAGTAGGAACATGCACAGTAACTGCATACTGTCTCAGTGAGTGCCACCAGTTGCTTTGCAGTACAAAAGACCAGGATCAAAGCACAGGGCCTGTGCACAGAAAGCCCCAGTGTTCTGCTTTAGTAGCCTCAGCTGCCTTGTTATTGACCTGAATTTGTGACTGGCAGACACATTTTTATGTGTCTGAGAAATCAGCTTCAGGACAAACAATCTGTTTGTTTCTGCCTGCTTGCAGACATGCTCACAAAAACACAGTGATGGAGGTGAAACTGAATCTCAATGGCAACTGGCTGCTGACAGCTTCTCGTGACCACCTCTGCAAGCTCTTCGACATCCGCAACCTGAAGGAAGAACTTCAGGTCTTCAGGGGGCATAAGAAAGAGGCCACAGGTCAGAACTCTTTTTATTATGTAGATTATTATTACTAAGCTTAGATTTAAAATTTAAATTATTTCCATTTGTTAGAAATCCTAGTGTTATACCTTGTGATTGTGGCTTACTGTGTGTTTCAGCTGTGGCCTGGCATCCTGTTCATGAAGGGCTGTTTGCCAGTGGAGGGTCTGATGGGTCCTTGCTGTTCTGGCATGTTGGGTATGTGGCATTTTCATCAGCACGTTGGAAAGGTGTTGGTCAGCTGTGCAAGCTGTTAGACAAAACACAAAATAGCTCTTTTCCCCTTTGGGTCCACATTTAACCTGCATATTTATGATAATACTTCTTCTCTGTAGCTGAATAATTTGTTAATATGCTTCATTTATGAAGAAGTTTTCCTGTAGAAATGTACTTTAAAGGATACAATTGCTTGCACAAAACCAGATATGTACTGAGTGATGAATGGCTGAAACTCCTAGTTTCTTAAAGCTTGTTATGAGGTGCTGTAATTACTTTGGTTTTGAATGTACAATTAAAAATCCCTACATTACTGAACTGCCTATTAAACCACAGGGAGCAATCAGTTCACCCAGTAGAAAAATTACAGAGGCTTAAATTTGACAAAATGTGGGATAGAGGATGAACAACAGCTGAATAGCAGAAGTTTTCTATTGTAGCTGTAGGAGATATTCACTGTGTATGATTAATTTTTATTTTTTTAATGCATCAGGGTTGAGAAGGAGGTTGGTGGAATGGAAATGGCCCATGAAGGAATGATCTGGAGTCTGGCATGGCATCCCCTTGGACACATTCTGTGTTCAGGCTCGAATGATCACACCAGGTAATTTCAAGTATTTAAAGAGAAGGTCTAAGGGAACATATTTACTTTCAGAAACTAGAACAGTGTCTGGCATCAGTGAATAAATAGATTGGGATGGTTCTGTTACACAACCAGTGGCCAAAGCAGAGACACAACTTATGTTAATAGGAAGCACTAGGTGACATTTTATATTACAAGGTAGAGTCTGACCTCTTGTAACAAATATTATGATTTTGGTTGGTGGGAGCTTTTAAATCCACTGAAGAAAAGTTTAAAAAAATAATACTTGTCATTTCTTACTGAAGAAATAGTCCTATCTCCACAGCAATTTTTCCTGCAGATCACCTGCTGGTCATGTCTTTTCACATTGCAGACACCTTCATAGGCTGTAGTTTGTGTTCTCAGGTTGGACATGCTATAAACACAGTGCATTATATAAATGCAGTAAATTTTCGTGGGGACGTGTGCATATTTAGTGTATATGAAGAATATTCCACTTGAGCAAGAAGGTTTTGGAATGGACTAGAAATATTTTTTTTCAGGATCTGATGTTGATCCCCTGTACTTACACACATTACACTTTGAAGTATCTTCTAAGTTGTAATGTTGAGTTTTTTATTTTTGGCTTGAATCTCATACACTGTGTTCAGATCTAGAGCTAAACTTGATTTAGTAAGAGTTAAATCCTTACATAATCAAGATACTACACTAAAAATCAAAGAACTAATTAGTTTAAAAATTGTTCATGCTCTTGACCCTTTAATGAGATCATGTAACTTCCTTTTGACAGCAAGTTTTGGACTAGAAATCGACCTGGAGATAAAATGCGAGATCGTTACAACTTGAACCTGCTGCCTGGGATGTCAGAGGATGGTGTGGAATATGGTGAGGCATTTCTCCTCAGTGGGGAAGGAGGAGGATTGGGGTCAGGAACAGGCCTAGGTCATTAGGTGACACTGCTGGGTAAGGTGAGGAAGCAGAATTCTAGCATTGGGGACCACTTGGGCAAAAATACCTTTTTCTAAGGATGATTTTACTGCCCGTGTTATCAGTGATCACCATTCCAACAATGGGTTTTCTTCTGTTTCCACAGCTCCAGGAGGTAAGACCTGCTCTGTTAATCACAGGAAGGAGGTTTGGCTCTCCCTCTGGCAATATCTCCAATTTACTTTTCTTCCTGAAAACTTCATCTGTCTTCAAGGCTTCCCACAGTCCTGAACTGCAACAGGAAAAGCAATAAGAATTCTACTAAAACCTTTAAACTTTACTCTTAAGGATTTATCCCAATAATTTTGGGCTGCTCAGGATTGACCAGTTCAATGGTGTGCCTCAGCCACCAACTGTAGTTCCATGTGTTTCTTCAGATTTTTGATTATTTGCCTTTTTTCTTTCTTTTTTTTTTTTGGATGGGGCTACTAAAATACAGCACTTTACTACAAGTTAAAATTTAAAATATATAGATTTGTTATAACAAAAATGGTTATGGGTTATTATATCTTTTTCTAAACTTCTACCCTAAATGTAACCTTCCAGAAAGGACATAGTTTTTGATCTTTTGGGGTGTGTTTATAAATGTCATCTTGCAGTTCTTTGAAAATTCTGTAATTCATATTACATTGTGACCTACCAGTTGTAAAATATCTAATTACTATTGGGATATTATACTAATGGTAAAAGCATGTGAGAATCCAAAGGGATGAAGTAGTAATGTAATAATGTTTTCCAAGAGTAAATATTTACTGGTTTTTTTTCTCTAGATGATCTGGAGCCCAACAGCCTGGCAGTTATTCCTGGGATGGGAATTCCTGAACAGTTGAAAATAGCTATGGAGCAGGAGCAGATGGGTAAGTAACAGCTATGGAAAAACATTCTCCTGAGCCATCCAGATACTGTGGGACTTCTTTTTCATTCTTTTCATATTCTTTGGCAGCACAGATGCTTTTTTCTAAAGTTCTGTGTTGTGCATATTTGCTTTGTAAAGAAGGATGAGCTGAAAACCTCTGTGAAAAAAATAAAGGATCTTTGTGTAAGGCTGCATTGCTCTGACTGTTTGTTTCCCTGGTGCCAAAGGGAAAGATGAGTCCAATGACATTGAGATGACAATCCCAGGACTGGATTGGGGAATGGAGGAAGTAATGCAAAAGGACCAAAAGAAAGTGCCACAGAAAAAAGTTCCCTATGCAAAACCAATACCAGCACAGTTTCAGCAGGTAAGTACCTGATACTGAGTGAACAGAGCAACCTGTTCTTTTCTCAGCTTCAAAAAGTGTATGTCTTTTGAAATGTTTTGGATTTTACAGCTCTCCTGTATCAACACCCCATGCAATTTACCACAGTAGCTAGTTTAATTACTATTTAAACATAAACTATTTTATTAAATACCTTCTATCTTGTTCTGTACCTGGGAAGAACTTATAAGATAAGGAGGTTTTATTCAGCATTGTTTTTGCTTTCAAGTATCTCTACTACAAAATGTTTTAGCATATCCATTTATCCTTTCTCATTGCAGCAATGTGTTGCACACAGAATTAATCTTGTGTTTCCTGATCTTTGTAGGCCTGGATGCAAAATAAAGTTCCTTTGCCTCCCCCACCTGAGCCACTGAATGATAGAAAGGAGGATATTAAGCTGGAGGAGAAAAAGAAATCACAGGCAGAGATTGAGCAGGAAATGGCAGCACTTCAGTACACAAACCCACAACTCCTGGAGGTGTGTATGTGTGGAAACACAGGGATTAACAAATTTGCTTTAGCCCTTTCTGTGACAGATTTGGACTTCAGCACTAAAGTGAGCAGCTTCCTGTAGCAGTTTCACCTGTTTGGATGTTTTCACTTTTTACAAAAAGCCATCTAATTGAACAGGGTATTGCAGTTAATGTGTGATGATGTGAAACCCTCAGTGAGGCCCCCACATCTCACTTTACCAGTGGGTCTCTTCAGTTAGTTATTGCTGTTAGTTACAAGGAAAGCATTCTTAAATTCCCATGAAATGGGATGACTGCTTCTGATTTTTAATTGAAACATTCCTCTGTGCTTAGTTGATTTTCTGTCTCTCTTTTTTGGACAGCAACTGAAGATTGAGAGACTTGCACAAAAGCAAGCTGAGCAGGTGCAGCCCCCGCCCCCAGGAGGATCTCTCCATGGACCTCAGCCTTTCCCAGGGCAAGGCCCAATGTCACAGATGCCTCAAGGGTTTCAGCAGCCCCTTCCACCTCAGCAGATGCCAATGAATATGCCTCAGATGGGACCTCCTGGTCCACAAGGACAGTTCAGACCTCCAGGACCCCAAGGACAAATGGGACCTCAAGGTCCATTACACCAAGGAGGTGGAGGTCCACAAGGGTTCATGGGACCACAAGGACCTCCAGGCCCCCAAGGGCCTCCACAAGGAATGCCACGGCCTCAGGATTTACACGGACATCAAGGAATGCAGAGACACCCGGGCCCTCATGGGCCAATGGGGCCGCCAGGCCCACAGGGCAGCGCTGGCCCACAGGGACACTTGGGACCGCAGGGCCTGCCCGGCTCTCAGGCTCATTTAGGACCACAGGGCCCGCCTGGCCCACAAGGTCACCTGGGTCCCCAGGGTCCCCCTGGAGGTCAAGGAATGCAGGGGCCACCTGGTCCACGAGGAATGCAAGGACCTCTTCCTCACGGCATGCAAGGAGCTCCGGGATCTCAAGGCATGCAGGGCCCTATATCTCAAGGGCCTTTGATGGGACTTAATCCAAGAGGGATGCAGGGTCCACCAGGACCCAGAGATAACCAGGGACCTAATCCACAAGGGATGATGATGGGTCATCCACAAGAAATGAGAGGTCCTCATATGCAAAGTGGTTTGCTAGGACACGGTCCCCAGGAGATGCGGGGCCTTCAGGGACCCCCGCCTCAAGGTTCAATGCTGGGACCGCCGCAAGAAATGCGTGGGCCACCCGGTCCTCAGGGCCAGCAGGGACCTCCACAAGGCTCTTTGGTGGGGCCTCAAGGAAACATGCAAGGACCTCAGGGACAGCCAAACCCTTCGAGGGGGCCGCACCCTTCCCAGGGCCCCCTGCCCTTCCAGCAGCAGAAAACGCCTCTGTTGGGTGATGGGCCTCGCCCCCCCTTCAATCAGGTACGTGGGGGGCTTTGGAACAAGGGGAGTTCTCAGAAGGTGGGACTGACAGCTGTCTGTGCAAGAGAAATGAGAGAATGGAGGTTGGGTATTCCTGGCAGGACTGAGGCCTCAGGAAAATGGAAGTGATGATGAAAAGGGTTCTGTAGCTTGGGAACGGCAGAAGGTGTCCCTGTCCGTGGCAGGGGGATTGGAAATAGGTGATCTTTAAGGTCACTTCCAACCCAAAATATTCATTATTCTATGACGGGTAACTGTGGAAAGGGATTATTGGGAATAGTAGTACAGAAACCAGTCTGCTGTGAAAATATGTCACCTTAAGAGAAACTCCTTTTTTTTTCTTATTTTTTTTAATTTAAAGACACTGAACTGTCCTAAGTGGGGTATTTCATTGGGAGCAGACAAGCACTAATAAAAGTCAAATTTCAAGAAACTGAACATAAGAAAAGTCATCTGTATTAATTAAAGCAAGGTATTGCCAACTCTCCGTTGTCCAGAGTAGTTAATCCAAACTATGGGATGGATTTACCATAGATGCTGACACACCTGGAACCAGCTTAGATCTGGGTGAACTTGACAGTTGACTCTAAGTGTAGAGGGATACAGAGGGACACAGCACTTTGCATTTTCTGCTCTCCTGCACACCACACAGAGCTCTCTCTGGTTATTGCCTCCCATAAGTTCCTAGCTGGATAGCACCAGTTCTTACTTTGTCTCATTTCGTTCAGTTCTTGGTGAATTTTGAAAGGGAAGCTGGGAAAAAATAATACATAATTGAAAAAAGAAAATGCATGGTGTTTTTTAACTAGAATTGTCTCTTTTAGACCTGCACTCAATAGTTTCAGTCAAGGCTTTAGACATGCAGAGTACTTAGTGTGTAGTCCAGTACCAATCACAATGAGGAATTGAATATTCCAATGAGCTGTAGCTCAGGGATTCCTTTTCAGATTGAAGCACAGTAGCCCACAAGTGGTGGGTTTATTTGAATATTTTTTCCTTACAAATCAATAATTCCCTCCAGAAGGCTGTTAATGTGCCACTGCTGCTGAGATTTCAAAAGTACCCAAGTTACACAAAGGAGTGCTGGTACCCCAACTATATAACTTAAACCAGCAGAGTTGTTTCTCATTGCTGTCCAGGGAGACTCATTTTTCTTTGAGAATAATTACCCTGTTTGTGGAGGGCTGTCCTTGTCTGCCCTTGCCACTGACACTTTGGAATTCAGCAGGGTGCTTTTGATGGGTGGCTGGTTATTTTCTTTGAATACTGCTATCCTAAAGGCTTTTACAGATACTTAAAAAATGGCATAGTGAGGTATTTTAACCCATTCTTCCTTGTGCACCTTTAGTATGGTAATGGCTTTTAAAAATTAACATATTATTAAATTTATGTCAGGTTTTGCTCCATTTTGCTTCTTTGTAATATGAATACAGCACAGTTCCTGTTTAAAAAGGCCCCATATGTGATTAAAAAAAAATAGACTTTAGTTTGTTTTGTGTTCTGGATTTCACTTTTTTCCTCTATAAACTTGTACAAATCACTTGTCTTCCTTTTCAGTAGCAGAAGTGTGTGAATATCTGCTTTATCAAGGGCTTGTGACAGTAACACAGAACAGTTACAGATAATTGCAAGGGTTAATCTCCATATCAAATACCACTGTTACCTGCCCTGCCTGTACACTGGATTTGCTGGGATGCACAAGGCCATTTTCAGCTTTTAGTAAAATACTCTTTCTAAACTCTGCATATTTCCCAGCTCAAGCCCAGTTTGAGGCCTGGAATGAATTTTGAAACAGAAATCCCATGAAAAGGCAGAGTTCTGTGTTCCCAGCTTGGCAAAGCATGGTTTGTTTGTAATCAAGGTTTCTGCTAAGGAGAGTTATTTACTGAGTGCTAAAAACTGCTGCTTTGGTTAAACACTTCCATAAATGGAAGAAGTTCCATAACATTTATTTTAAGTAAGCATCTGCTAAATATATGGGAAATGCTGGAACTCCAGCAAGGTTTTGCTCAGGAACAGCAGAATCACTGTGATAGCTGGCTCTTACCTAGTCAGAGGATGGATTTGTTCTGGACTCCAGTCAACATTCCATCACTAGGAAAGTATTTTTGGGGATTTTGGGGTTTTTTTTAATGGGCATTAAGCCAGATCTTTTATTTTGCTTATTTTTCCAACATTCTTACAAAATTAATCAATGCAAATATGAAGTTTGTAGTACATATTTGTGTGCTTTCTTGTGTTTATCACCTACATTGCAGTTGAATATAAATTTTTAATTTTAAACGATATTTCAAGACATGATGGGGTAAATGCACAAATAAACCTTCTTCTTCTCTGCAACCAGAAACAAAAAGGTAGTGTTTCTCAAAAATAAATGTAGAGCATTAAAATTATCTAACGTTGATTCATGGAGAAGTTAAGCAGTGTAATTATAACCCAGTGGTGTGCTGGAGTACAGGTCTTTAAGTATTTCCAGGCTGGTTCATATTTTTATTGTTGGGTTTTTTATCTGTGGTATAAATTCTGTACATGTCCCTTTTCAGTTCCAGTCACGCACAAACCCCAGTGAGGACTTTTTGTCAGCCCTGTGCTGTTGAAAGGCAGAATCAGAACATCATCCAAACACAGTTTTCCAGCCAGTGTCACCAGAGCAGGTCCTGTCAAAATCATTTGATGAGTCAGTGACAGCAGCTGAATTTAGAGACCATAATTTTATCCTTTAAAATTCACAGAAAACAAAAGAGAAAAAATAGCAAAAACCACTTATATACTTTATTTTTTCATTTGGGATCACATAAAGCACACAAAACTCTGCCCACTCTACTGCCTCTGCTTTTTTTTTATCCTAAAATGAAGAAAAATGAACTTTGCCATCCTGCTAAAAATGAAACTCATGTTAGCAACTTAGAGAGGTTTAGAGAAGAGGTTTCCTTATGGCCCTGTCATTGTCCCCTCATCTCAACATTCTTGATACTTATTTTTGTATATATAGTTTCTCTTTTTTGTTCATTTCCAAATGAAGTCTTTGGTCCGTGAAGAAGTTCTTTAACTGGCTGTAAATCAGTACCTGATATTTTTCAGACAAATTTACATATTTTCCTCAGGAAAATTCCTCTATTCCTCCAGAGGAACAGAATAATTGTATCAAATACTCAATAAATTCAATATATTCTTACAGAATAGTCATACTCGGGAAGAATATGAGCTTCATCATCTTTGGCTGTGACAGCTAAACTGTGAATAGCTGCCAAGCTGTTTCCTCTGAAATGCTGTGTTTCTCAGTGGCTGAAGCATTACTGATGTGAATGTCTGAAAGCTGAGGCTGAAACCATTGGAACATGAGCTGTTTCTGTTGTACAACCTGTGCAAATGCACACCTTGGGGAAAGAAAATTGTTTTGCACTCCTACAAACATTTTTAATTACTCACACATGGAATTCACCTGGCTTTTGTTCTCCCATGCTCACAGGATGGACAGAACCCGGGTCCTCCTCCTCTGATACCAGGCCTGGGGCAGCAAGGAGGACAAGGTCGTCTGGGCCCTCACAACCAGGGACCTGGTCTTAATAAAGGTAATTCCACATCTTGTCTGTTCTCCTGGGAGTCAGTGTGCTCAAAGAGGGGCTGTCCCAGTGCACTGCACCCAGGGAGAAATGGCTGCAGCACAGTGCAGGGCCTGGGCTGAGAGAAAAGCTTCTCTGGGCTGGGATATACAGGGAAAATTTCCCCAGAAATATTGTTTCATGTGAAAGGTATCCCATATGCTTTCTGGAACCGTATGAACTAGAGCATCCTGAAGTGATTTAGAAACAGTTCCACAAACCTGCTGTGCTTTTTCTTGCCCCTGAAGGCGATGCCCGAGGGCCACCCAACCATCACCTGGGCCCGCTGTCGGACAGGCGGCACGAGCAGAACAGCGGCGGCCCCGAGCACGGGCCAGAGAGGGGCCTGTTCCGAGGGGGGCAGGACTGGAGCGATGGCAGGGACAGCAGGGGCATGCCCGACAGGCGGGGACCTCACCCTGACTTCCACGATGACTTCGAGCGGCCCGACGACTTCCGCGATGATTTCCACCCAGACAAGAGATTTGGCCATCGGTTACGGGAGTTCGAGGGGAGAGGAGGCCCACCACTGCAAGAGGAGAAATGGAGGCGAGGGGGACCTGGGCCTCCCTTTCCTCCTGACCACAGGGAATTTGAAGGAGGTGGTTCCAACCGGGGCCCTCCTGGTGCTTGGGAAGGACGGAGACCTTCAGATGACAGATATCCACGGGATCCCGAGGATGCGCGCTTCCGAGGAAGGCGAGATGAGAGGTAAGAATAAATCCATTTCTCTTTCTTGGGGTGAAGGGTGAATGGAGGGAACTCTTTTATTCCTGGTTTCCTTTTCATTAAGGAGTCTATCTGTTTCAGATTTATAAACTGGAAACCAATAAGGAAATGAAAACTAATATACCTGAGTGTAGAGTCCATAAAAATCATTCAGTAATAGAAGAAAACTTGAAAAATGGTCATTGTACACAGCAGCTTCCGTGTCTTTAAACAGTAAGTAAAGAGAAGGGGGAAAGTTTTAGAGAAGATCCAGTGACACAGGATGAAGATCTGAGGCCGTTTTGATGAAAATTGAGAGGAGACTTAAAGGTTAAAGTGACAAACTTTTGAACACTAGAAGTGGATTTTGAGATTCTGTCTCCAGTCACAAACTACAGCATGACTGTAGAGACTGTAGGATGAGATGCAATGCCCTTGTGAGGAGCAGGAACAGTGATGTGACTGCCAGATAGAAGGGACAGACATACAGCATCTGTTGGACTGTCGAGACTATTTTTTCATATGTTTGCTTGTAGAAATTTTATTTCTCTTTCTGACTTATTTCTTAATGCCAAGCAAAGAACTCAAAATAATCTGATTTACTGCAATGTCCTTGTCATTGCTCACAATCTCTGAATAAATCACCAAGGGATAAATTTGCATTTAGTTACCAATGTAAATATGGAGGAATTAATGCTGTCTCTGAAATGAATTATCAGCAAAATTGCTCCAGATTTATGTTAGTTTAATTAAATGAAATTTGGCCTCCAAGGTCTAAGCCTCTCACTGACCACCAACTCTCTATGTATCAGAACATGTGCTTGTTACAAATATGCTGTGGTCTCCACATAATGTGAATTTTGTGTGTTTTAGTTGCCTTTTTAATCATTTTCTTACATTCCTTTTACTTTGCATCTATACAGCTCTTCTTTTAGCTATTTTCTACCTAGCTCTGTAAGATGTAACTTCCTTTTGTGTGAAGAGTATGAAAAGAAATGAACAGTAACTTAAAGAAGGTAACAATTAAAGCCATTTTTAAAAAGTAAAGCCAGAGAAAATCTAGTTGGATGGTCCAGTGGTCCAATGGTCTGCATCACAGAACTCTAAAAGACACAGCAGACAAGAATTTTAGAAGCTCAGTAGAGATTTTTCAGATCTTATATTGAAAATGTTTAGGGGCTGGCAAATATTTTATTACGGTCCTGATTTTTAAAAAGCTTCAGGAAGGGAAACAAGAACCTTGTGACCTGCAAATCTGACTTTTGAACTATAAGAGTATTCTGTTTACCAGAGTACAAGTGTTTGCCCAGAGAGTTTGAAGTGAAATGGCACAAGGCTCTAAAAGGCTCACTGTGCTGGTAAATTTGATAATTTTCTTGGAATGAAGGTGAACTAGGTGCCATTTACTGCAGATGCTGTGGTGGACTTAATCCCAACCACTCGTTTAGCTGACTTGGTTTGAAATTGAGATTGTAACTGGTTTGATCAAGCATGAGAGGCAAATGTGTGTATGTGTGTTTCTCTCTAATTTCCCATCCTTTTCATCCCTGTCCTGTTCTTACTCTGTATCAACATGATGCTTCTACTGCAGAGACCTGCCTCTTCCTGCCTGCTAACCTGCACAGTGTGTAGTTGTGTACAGTAAGGTCCTAGGCCTCGGGGAAGAAGATGTGAGAGCAGTCAAACAGAACTGAACCCGAAGCAAGGCAGGGCTTTATGTGTGACTGATATGGAAAGGCAAATAAGGATATCCATAACACAATATTAGGAGCTGTGGCTGTGTCAGGCATAGGTACCGTAGATTTCAAAAGTCAACTGTGTCCATGAGTTGCCTGAAATAGGAAGGGCCCTGTTCCTGCAGCCCTGGGGCCTCGTGTTGAAAATCTTGGTAATTTCCAAGCTAAGTTGAATCACACCATATCAGTATTAAAGCAGGAGGCCCTCTAAGAAACCTCTAGAGGACTGTGCTCTTTCAAGGCTAAACAATATTGCTCTGTGATTATTTGAACCATTTGTACCTGAAACTGTTGAGGCTGTTTTCCCAAACCATCCAGGTTAATGTAAATGGTTCATGGTCCATCCAAAGCACTCCTCCATCCACTGTTGTACCTGTACAGGCACAGCAGCCTCCTCTCTGTATTGTGTTTGTTTTCTGGGAGGTGGAGACAGACCTATTGTTTTTTATTAAAAACAATGTAAAAGTTTAAAAAATATTGTATTGTGTTATGACTACTGTTAAAATATTTAAATTTGTAATTAAAAGGTTAATGTTGTTAAAATTCTAAATAAAAGTATCTAAAGTTTTGCTTGTAATAGGATGCACTGTGTCGTTAATGAGCTGGGGAAGGGGACGCTGCACACAGCCAACACCACGGGAACACTGCTGTGCTTCCAGTGCAGCCAGAGTGCAACTGGGAGCACTGGGGAGGTGGGAGGCTTCTGTCACTGGGCAAGAGAGCTCCACAGCGTGTGCTGTCACCGAGGGTGGGCAGAGTAGCGTGGGGTGGCACGGTGGGGACACCAGTGTGCCTGCACCACCTGAGCACCTCAGCCGGGCTGTGACAGACAGGCGTCCTCGCAGGGCAGGGCTGAGCTTTGCAAAGCCTCCAGGTGTTTGAACTGCTGGTGTCAGGAGCAGAGCTGCTAGTTATTCACACAGCCAGCTGCAGGCTTACCTGGCATGGCACTGACAGCTCAGGAAGAGCCATTCTCCTCTCTGAAGAGCTGGACAAGGCCCCCAGCGTGGTGCTGGAGGAGCTGTACTCAGCTAAGATGCTGTGCAGAACCCAGTTGTAACAAATTCCTGCAGATGCCCTTGGTACTTACTAGACAGCAGTTATCAACTTCAGGCTCATAATTACATTTTGCAACACAAAATTCATTACTGCAGTTGGATAAACTGCTCTTCAGGTTGCAGAATGCCACTGTGCACTGTTCAGCCATCACTGTGCCTACAGATCCAAGGGTAGTCTAGATGCATTTGCTAAAACTGTAAACTTTGAAGAATGGAATGAAAAGGAGAATTGTCTGGCAAAAGAATCATAGAACTAATAGGAATGAGATCCTGTAATATTTTGTTATAGCCATGAGTCTCATTGCTTCTATGTTTTCAGTTTGTTTTATGATGGAAATGGAAAGGAAAAAAGGGGAATGTAAGAGCATCAGAGTTAAGGGGAACTCACACTTTGCCTTGCCTTACCTCACCTTGTATCTATCATCACTCATTGATTGTTTTTCCCACCTTTTCATTAAATGAATGCAATGTGTTTAATAATATTTTTCTTGTATGAAAAGCCAACATAATCAGTGGAAGGAAATATGAGAGGAAGATTACAAAGCTTACTATCAAAGTGCTCAAAGGCAGAAATGGGCACTTTCCCACCTACAAATCCTGTTCTAGTACCTGTATGTGCTGTAGCATTAAGTGAAACAGTTTAGGAATGAGTTGATAATTAAACTGAAGCTGCCTCAGTGATGCCTAAAAGCCACATTTGTATCCTGTTCTTTGTTGTAGCTTCCGAAGAGGAGGACCCTCGAGACACGAGGGCCGGGGGCCCAGGGGCAGAGATGGTTTTCCTGGCCCTGAAGATTTTGGGCCAGATGATGCTTTTGACTCTCCAGAGGAGAACTCCAGAGGAAGGGACCATGGTGCTCGGGGGCGAGGTCGAGGTGCTCTGAGAGGTAAGGGGAATGTTCTTCCACACAGAAAGAAATGCAGGGCTGAGGAAGGAAAGGCACTTCTTGGGCAGGTGACATGATTTTCATGAATACAATGTCTCTTCTCACTCCTGTCCCCTGCTTCTCTTACTGCTCAGGAGCTCGGAAGGGTTTGCTTCCTACTCCAGACGAGTTCCCACGCTTTGAAGGAGGGAGGAAACCAGAATCCTGGGATGGAAACAGAGAACCAGGTAAAAAATTGGGTGAGGTTTGTAGACTTCCACAATATAATAACTTTTAAAAAATATTTTTAAAATAATGCCTTTTTCCTGTACCTCACGTGTTTGTTACCAGTATTTTACCATGAGAAAAGCTAAATGCAGTTCTTTGGTCTTTTAAATTTAGGAAAAAAGAACTATACAGAATTTAACTGTCTCTAAATACAGCTGTCTTATTGAATAGAAGTGATTGTGGCCTCAAAGCCTTGATTTTCAGTTATATTCTTGTACAGTCCAGAACTGCCTGGGCAGTTGTCACCTCTGGATGACTGAATCACGTCATGGGGGTTTTTTTAATATCTTTATTAATGCCAACAGTAATCTTTCTCTGTGTTGGTGTCTTTTCAGCTGCAATGTCTGACAGCTTATATTTGCAGTTGTCTTACTAAAGGCAACCCCATATGGGGCCAGACAGAACTGTAGAATGTCATGGAAAACAAAGCACAGATGGCACATGAATAAATGAAGGTGTGATTGTCTCTAAAATATATGGAAGCATTTTATACTGGAAAGAACACTTTACATCTGCCACACTTTTCTTTCCCATCATCTTCAGAATCTGTTTTACCTTTAGCTTTTTTTACTAAAAAATGGGACAGAGGAGAAACTTTACATAATTTTAACTTCAAACTGTGTGCCAAACAGTGTGGGCAGTTTGTAAATTTGTGTGGCTGCCTTCAAAAATGAAGAGTAATGATCCAATGAACATTACTTATCCTGTGTTTTCGTGCACAGGTCCTCGTCCAGATCACCCTCCTCATGATGGGCACTCTCCAGCCAGCAGAGAACGTTCCTCTTCACTCCAGGGCATGGACATGGCCTCACTGCCACCACGGAAACGGCCCTGGCACGACGGACCGGGAACCTCTGACCACAGGGACATGGATGCTCCAGGTGCACCTCCAGAGGAGAGGGGCAAAGGTAAAAACCCCTTTCATTAGAACCCTTAGTAACACTGGCATGTGTTTTCAGTAGTGAGTGTATCCAGAACTTCCCTGTTCAGAGGGGATGAAGCTGAGCTGGTAAATGGCTGATTTTATCAGCTGGGAAGTTAGAGACCAGTCTTACAGGAACATAAGAACAGAGGGATTTTCAAACATCAAATCCAGATCTTGTCTCCAGCATCACAGAACCCCCTTCTTTATTGCCCTGTTCAAAAGTAATTGGTTTTTGGTTCCCTGTTACTCAGCTGGAAAACTCATTAAGAGCATTTTTCCCTCATTTTCAGAATAGTTGTTTATTAATATTAATGTTTGTGATGTTACTCTTTAACTCAAATATAAGAACATTGAGCCTGGAGTGATATGTCCCTGAAGTGCTCTCTAAACCTCTGAAGATCTGACTTACTAAAACGTTATATTTAATGGCTTTCTAGTTACCTTTTGTGTACTTCTCTATTGCTTTAAGAATCATATAAACTTTTGATATACACAACATCCATGGACAGACCTCTAAAACTTAATTGAAGTAGACTATGCTTTAAAAAAAGAGGGAAAATGTTTTTCCCTTAATCTACGCTTATCATTCACTAATTTAATTCGATGTCTTGTGATGTAATTAAGTTAAATGTTGGTTCCTGTTATTACTGAATGCCACCTCTGACTGCACTGAACTCCACCACTTCCAGCCTGAACCAGCTCTTCTCCAAGTCAGAGCTCTGATTTCTTTATTTTTTCTAGAAATTGTTGTCTCTCACTATCCTTGTTACTCTGTATGTGATATTTTGAGTTTTAAATTATCCTTTTCTAAATTAAATGAGGTAACTGGGAATTGCACACACTATTTAAGATGTGGTCTAACCATGGATTTCTACAGTTCTCTTGTATTTGTTCCACTTTCTCCATTCCTTCCTAGCAGTTCCTGGTGTTGTAGTTCCCTCTAAGTGGTCCCATGCTACTGTAACCCACAGAACACATTCTTTTGGAGTCAGTGCTAGCATCACAGCAGTTCTTGATCCTGTTTCTTACAGATCCCAGGACTTCTGTTCTCTTGTGTAAATATTGTCTTTCTTCAATGTCCTCACATTGACCAAGCACTGTCAGGTAGTGAGCAGTGACAAACATCCTTCTCATTTCCTTCCAGATGCTGAGCTGGCAGCCTGCAGCTGAATTTGCTGCTGTTAGACTGCACAGCTTTGTCTCTGATGCCACTGAACACTGAATCCCAGCCCACCACTGTCCCCAAGCTCATTCAGTTTTAACTGCTTATCACTCTTCCTCTGCATGGACTCTGTTCCCAGGTTTTATCATTCCTTCACAGATGTTTTGAATGAAACTCTGCTGATAAACTTCTCTACCAGTATTTTTCCTTCCATATCTACATGCTGTAGTTCTCAATTTAGCCAGCATCTATCAAATCTCTTAGGATTCCTTTTCCAGCTTCAGTAATGATTGTGATAACTCAGATTGTGAGAACTCAGATTCTTTGTTAAACTCAAAACAATTGTTGTCCAGGCACAAGTGTGGTAATTAACTCATCATTTAGAATGATGGCAGAAAGCCTGATAAACCATGAACAATACTTCTTCATATGTGGGCTACATCACTTTCAGTTGTATTGGTAAAGTTCTTTGAAGATTAAAACTTCATTAATGTTTCTGTGAAACAGTTTGGTGACTGTTTTACATGGAATCATCCACAGTCAACAAAAATCACTCCTGCTTAAGTGCAGCAAAAATACCTGAATTTAGCTGTAGTAGGTGTCCTTAAAACAAGGTTATCACTGATTTTGTTTTCTCAAAATACTACTACTTATTTTAGGCTAATTAATTGGGTTGGAGTTTTTTGTTGTTCATATCAAACTTATCAAAACCAAAAAGGTATGTGAGAATTAGAAAATTCTATTCTGTGAGAATTAGAAAACTCTGTTCCTGGCAGTAAGAGCTTGAGTACTTTTTTTTCCAGGTTAGTAGTAAAATAAAGCATTTTTCCTTTATTTTTAGCAAAAAATTGGAACAAAACAGTAATGTTACTCATGATCTTCACCATCGGCCTCAACTGTCTCAATTGTCAACACTGCTATGTCTCTGTTTAGGGTTTATAAAAAGTATTTTGCAGTAAAAACAGAGAGAACAGAACCCCAGTGTTGAAGCACCAGAACTGGCAGTTCTGAGGAAAAGCTATCACTATTCTGAATTCATTTCAGTGCCTGCTGACAGTATCAAATGTAAGCTCCTTTAATTCCCAAGGAATTGCTTGATTGTTGTCTGTTTTCTTAACTGTAATGGAGACACTTAATCTGTACAACAAAATTGTACTGAGGCAAGAGACATAAAATTGCAGATCTCAGCTACAGCTGGTTTATGAACGATGACAGCACAGCAGAAGCAGCTCAATATCTGGCATGTCTGAGAAGAGACTCAGCTCAAACTTCCACCAGTAACTGGTTGTGCTTCCTTTGCAGGACGAGCAAATTCGGGACCTTCACAGAGAGCGCCAAAATCTGGGAGGTCCAGTTCTCTAGATGGAGACCACCACGATGGATTCCACAGGGAGGAAGCCTTTGGTGGAGGCCCTGGGGCAGGCAATAACCCTTCTCGAGGAGGAAGGAGCAGCAGCAATTGGGGAAGAGGAAATAACATGAACTCTGGCCAGTCCCGGAGAGGAGGATCTCGGGGCGGACGAGGCCGATAGAAGAGGCTTTGACTGGGTCATGCCCAGTCCTTGTGGGACAATATTTAAATAGACTGCTACTCTGGACTCACCTGCAATGCCACGAACCTGGATTCTTAACTGGGATAACTGAATGTGCATTAGTTCCTAACAAGGGTCTTTCTTTTCCTGAATCAGTCCTTTGCCTCTGGCTGCAATATTGTAGCTACCTTTGTTTTGTTCTTTCCACTCCCATTCCCCTCACTTTCTTTTTTTGTCAAGAGCTGGAATTTCTTTTTAAGTGTTGTGGAACATGGGGCATCTCCACAGATTTCAGTTCACCTCCAGACAGAAACTTGTTTCTATATGTACAGTTTGTCAAAGAGTTACATTGGTTTTGTATGAATACAGAATGTAATTTGCGCAAAAATTATCAAAAAAAAATCAACAGTGTGTGATTCTTTACTCACCTATTCCTACAGAGGGTTGCATTTAGGCAAACTTGTGTTTCAGATGGAGCAACAGTACTACCTCCTGAAATCTCAGCCATTTCAAATACTGAGAGCTGATTCCTGGTTTTTGGTTTATCATGTACAGAGAAGTTTCATTTTCACCTTTAGCCACAGCTGTCTACAGATTACAATGGTGCTGAGGTCCAAATTCCAAAATGCAGGCAATCCCCACTGCTTGCTAGTCTGCCATCCTGAAACAGAAAAGAGTGGAATAGTGTTTAGAACAAGTTGTCAAAGACGTAGTGTGAGTTACATAACCTGGATCCTAACACAGACATCACAGCAAAGAGTGGCATTCTACACTAGGCTAGCCACCAATATTTGCTCAGAACAGCATCTGTTTATAGAAATTGAGGAACTTTAGCAGTTTGACTGGTATGTTTTACAGCAGCTGTGTGACACATTGTTTAAAGCTATGGGTGTTCAGCAGAGTCTGGTGCATTAATTGCTGAGGTGCAATTCATCACTTCCAGAATAAGGTTTTTTTAAGTGTTTTTCTCTTTAGGATATTGTTACCTGGTTTTACTAAAGGAGGGAAATGAGGAGGAGGGGTTATTCCCATTTCCCACATTTCATAATAAAGCTGCTTACCAACCCTGAGTTTGTTTTCCCCATAAATCATTCCTATTAATTGTCTCCAGTCACCATGTTATCAGAAGGCTCCTTTAACACCTAAAGCCTCAGTGAAAATGTTATCACGTAAGTACTTATTCTACAGGCACCCCTCAGGAAGGTCCTGCATTGAAAGTAGAGCATATAAAGAAAAATCCCTCTCTCCTGCCTTGAATTTCAGGATGAGACTCAGTTCTAGAGGCTGCTGCAACCCAGCAACACCAGAGCTGTTGCATCTTCTCACAGGCAGGTTCACCAAAAACTGGCTCAAGTCCTGATGTCTCATCTTCCTTAAAGACACCAAAGCACAGATGCTCAACTGCTGTTCTCTTGGTTCAGTCAGTCACTTTTTACTTGGTTTTTAATTTGTGGTGTATCAAATCACATTTGAAAATTGTAACTGATCATCAGCCTATAAAATCCTTGGTATGGGGGTCAGGAGAGACAGAAGGGTCTAAAAGGAATTAACTAGAAACAGCTGAGATGCATCTGATATGACACAGTTTGTCCCTGGAGAAAAAAAGCTTTTTAGCTCTATCTGAAGGTCTTTGGGTGTATGTCTGGGAGTTGGGATTTTTCCTGAAGTTTTTATGAGAAATACTGAGTTCATCATTGGCAAAGAGGAAAGCTTGCCCTCTTTTTTAATTTAGCAAGCCTGATACATGTTTAAGGGGCTAAAGGAGGTCTAATACTTAGACTATTTAGAGAATGAGCTGTAGGCTTTAATTAAACCACAGTCCTCTACCAAAACAAGTTTATGTAACAAGAGAAAAACCAGCTTTATCTAAACAACTTATATTTCCTCTGATGATTGGTTAATTCCTTAAACAATTATGGTACTTAATGTTAAATAACACTCTTCAAGGGGCAGCTTTTTAAATGGAGTTTTGAAGTATTTCATAATCATATGCTCAAAAAGTCCTAAGAAAATTTGATAATTAGATACAGTTTCTACAAAATCTTGGAAGGTAACACCATAGCAGAAGAGACAGAAGCAGCTTCCCAGTCTGTGATAGCAAGACCCACTCTTACTGGGAAATTGGAACAGCTATTTAATGGGAATACTTCTGTATTCCTCAGGTCGTGTTATTTTACCAGTGCTGCACACAGACTCTTATGCTCTGCCTGTTAGTTCAAAAGTAGTCTCAGATTTAATTTTACACTGCTGTTAGGAATAAAATTAATTTTATATACTGTAACTTAGAAATTGTAAAAACAAGAGAGCTAATTTAATGCTATTCTCATAGCTCTGATCTACATTCTTAATGGAAAAAGTGACCATTAGTGAAATGTCTATACTGACAACTGGACACAAATAGTTTTATTAAAGCAATCTGTGAACACTTAAGCACGCCCTTTAACAATTTCAGTTTAATTCAGAAAAGTATTTGGTAAATCTTAAAACTAAATATGATAGCAGGTGAGTATTGCAGTGGCTTTGTTTTCTCCATGAGGCACAAATGCTCAGTGAGAGCTCCCTGGGGGCTCTGTGAGGTGAGGCCCGGTGTCCCATTTCCTTGCACGGTGCAGCACCCAGCCCAAACGGGAGCACCCAGCTCTGTCAGCCTGAGTTCAGCACCTCCTAGGGCAGCTCAGTTTCTGCACTGGAGCAGAGCTCCAGTTACTGGCAAATCTATTTCTGAAGGTCAGGCTGGGATAAATAAGCAACTCCTGCCCAAGTTCAGAGAGCAGTATCTATACACAAAAGTAAAGTTCTAAGGGTGGGAGCTCCCGTTTTAAAGCCCAGTTTGGTCCCTTACAGCAGCACCTGCAAACGCCAATGCTCTTAACCAACATGAGCACTTTGCATCCTCTCATCATCATGCAGGAACACCCCCTCCCGTACAATTATGGGCAGTGCTTGTGACCCACAGCCCCAGGAAAGTTTGTTTCACTTACTGGATGGTTATTTTAAAGCTGCTTTATAGAGAGAAATGCAGTTCAGTGGCCAGAGTCTTCGTATTCACCACTGGTCTGAGGTGACAGCAAAAACAGTATGTGTTCATAGTGTAGGGGTCAGCACAGAATGAGGTAACACCAGTTAATTTTTCAATGTTCTCCCCTAGCCTCGATGGCGTTTTGCTAAATCATCCTCGTGTTTCGGCATCCGACAGCCTTGCGCACCTCAGCCGCTCCTCAGCACGGGCGATCCACGATGACGCCGCACGGCTCCGGTCTCTGCAGCAGCCGCGGTCCCAGGCCGGGGGCAGGAGCGGGATGCCGCCAGCTCCCCACCCAGAGGAGGAGCGCTGCCGAGCCGCGCCGGGGAGCGGACAGCGCGGTACGGCCAACAACGAGCTCGGCAGGCTGACACCGCACACGGCACCCCGGGGCCGCTCCGGGCTGCCGGCCCCGCTGCTGCTGCTGCTCCAGCGTGGCGAGGAGAACGCGCCGGGCCGCGGAGAAGAGAAGCGGCGTGCCCGCCCTGGGAGCCGGCCGGCGACAGCGCCAGGCTCCGGCCCCGTGTGCGAGGCGCTCCCGCGGGGCCGCGCCGGGCTCCCAGAGGCAGCGGCGGGCTCACAGAGGCAGCGCGGGCCCGCGCAGCAGCGCGGCGGCGCCCAGCGCGCACAGCGAGCCCAGCGACCAGAGCAGCGCGAACTTGCGGGCGCGCAGCAGCAGCAGCGGCGCGCACAGCCCCGCCAGCCCGAAGCACAGCGCGGCCAGAAGCACGCAGAGCCCGCTGCCCGCCAGCCGCTGCCAGCGCGACAGCCCCGCCAGCCACGGGTCCTCCTCGCCCGCCCAAGGCCACACCGTGGCGCCCGGGGCACTGCCCGGCGGGAACGGGCTCAGCGCGCCCAGCCAGGCCCGCAGCCCGCCGCCGTCCCCCGCCTCCTCCTGCGAGCCGCCGGCCGCCGGCGGGGCGGGCGCCGCGCCGGGAGCGCTGGCGGCGGCAGCAGCCTTGGACTGCGCGAGGTACTCGTGCAGCTGCCGGCCCAGGTCCGCCATGGCGGGGTGGCACCGCGCGCTACACCGCTCCCGCCGCCCGCCCCGGCGCCGCCATTTTCCCGGGCAGGGGCCACATCCGGGGCACGGCACAACACGCGGCCGCAGCCCGGGGGAGCGGCGCGCATGCGCCGGGGGCCGTGAGGCGCAGGGCGCTTGCGCGGGGATCGTGGGGGCTGTGAGGGCGATGGGGGACAGGGGTCTGTGAGGGCTGGGAAGGCTCTGCAGACTGCCAGGGCTCTGCGCTGTGAGGGCTATGTGAGCTGTCTAGGGCTGCGGTGTCCCTGAGGCCTGAGTGGGTTGTAAAGGGCTACAAGCCTGGGATTAGCCTGTCAGTGATTGACAGGCAGGACTAAAAGTGATTGACAGGTGGGATCAGCCCCGGAGATTGATTGACAGGCGGTACTAAGAGTAATTGAGATGTGGAGCCGTACACTCAGAGTGATTGATGGGCGGGGCCAAGGGTGATGGGGGCAGGCTTCACAGGCAGGGCCACGGGAGTGCCCCTCAGCTAGCGGGGCACCGGAGCTGTCCTCTGTAGCCAGGCTTCCGTGCCTGAAATTGGGATTCCGCCTCCCAGAACTGAACATCCGAGGATTACTCGCAGACAAAAGCTGCCAGACTGACCGGTCTCACTGGCCTTGGCTTCCCGGGGATGGGCTCTCCTGCCCCACAGACACTGGGGTGCCAGGCTTTCCTTCCTGTGGAAAAGGGCCGTCCTTCACGGCCAGGCACCCAGGGCTGAAAGTGGGATTGCACCTCTGTAGCAGCACATCTCGCCCCACACAAGAGCTTATCTGTTGCTTTTTAACTGGTCAGATAACTCAAGCAGGACAAGCTGTCTTGTATTGAGTCATTTTGGTGCCATGGGTTTAACACTGGTCTGGCATCTGGAAGATAAAGCTGAATTTCTGACTGACAGACACCTCACTTTATAAAAGCTACACCAAACTTTGACAAAGCAGAAATTTTCTGTGCTTTTCCTGGAAATGAGTAGAGTTTCTCCCACAAGCAGGGCTGCCTGCTTTGCAGTTACTCCCCTGAAGGTTAAGTGAAAGGAACGTGTGTACTTTATCATCATTTCAGTGATCAGTTACATTTGACTCCTAATCAACACTATTTATTTTGCTAGCTTTAGTATAGGTACCTTGATGTCCTGCACTGTTTTGTGTTACGCTGTAATCTCCTTGTACTAGTTTGTAGTACCAAGAATTGCTCCCAGACAGAAGTTGCCAGGGCATGTGGGTCCCACAGGCCTTGACTTCCCCTGGGCTGCCTCTCATCTGTGCCTGAAACACTGGGGCTGTGTGCTTTCCTTACCATGGAAATGCACTGTCGTTCTCACCTAGGAGTCCATGGCAGAAATTCTGAATGCCCCTGTACATCCAAGGATTTCTCCCAGATGAAAGCTGCTGGGACAAATGGGTTTCCTGGACCTTTCCTCCCCTGGGCCACCTCTGACCTGCACCTAAAGTACTGGGCCTATGTGCTCTCCTTCCTGTGGAAATCAACTGTAATTCCCATGCAGGAGCCTGTGCTGGAAATTTGATTTGCACCTCCACGAGTGCCATGTGCTGGAGAGCTTCTGTGCAGATACACTGTTGTGCAGCACAGTAAACTGACATTTCAGACTGTGATGCTACATGAGGCTGAGAATTAACCTGCAGAGCACCATGCTTTAAAGCTGCAAGAGGAGAGTGGCTGCCACAACTGCCTTCCAAATTGTGGTTGTCAGCTGTAAGGGACAGGTCACGAACACTATCTGTGCTGGCAGGGGTTCCCATTTGAGACTTGTGTTGAAAGAATTTCATTTAGCTATAGACTCTGAGATTCAGCAAATGTTGTGGTAGAAAGCTGAGAAGAAAACAACAATACTGCACCGGTGTGTTTGGCATGGCTTACAAGAGGCAAGGGGAAGCTGCAGACCAGCACTGGTTCAGCAAGCTGTTTGTGTCTCAACATTTAACTTACACCCTGTGAAAAGCAACCCCACTTTGGAGTCATGAATTTTCCTGCTCAGCCTCATGTGCCATCACATTCTTTCACTCTCCAAAACCCAGCTTCAAAACTTAACATGTCCAGCAATGTTCTCCTACTCTGGGTCTTAAACCAAAAAGTAAGCACTGGCCTTCCCTTTCCCCTTGCAATCTCACAGAGTCCAGTTACAAAACTAGGAATGTTCAGCAGTTTGTACCCTGGAAAAGGTTCTAGAGGAGAAAGAGGCCGTGCTGGAATTCGCTTTTCTTTTGCAGCTTATAAACTGCCCAGCCAAGAGTGAGACGATTCGTCTTCCTTCCCAGCTTTATGCAGGATGACATTCTTTCAGTCTCCAAGATTCAGGATCCCAAATGGAACCCCTACACCAGCTGCTCCCACTCTAACAGGGGGAGGCGTGACTGTCACCTGCCACTGTCAGCGCTCACAGAGCACACCACACGATGGCGGTGTGTACTTGCAAAAGACGGAAAGTCACCTTTTCTAGCTCTAAACCCCCTAAAATGCAGATCCAAGTTCAAAACGTCACTGCTCTCAAACTGAGTCAGGACAGAAAGATTTCACTGACCTTCCCCTTCCAAGAACAAACTCCTATTTGCACCACACTCAAAACCAACTCCTCTGTGCTAATGCATTTTTTTCTCTCATGGAGTCTGGCTACAAACTTGAAAACCATGGGCAAAGTTAGCTGACAAAAGTGCCAGCTGAGAAAGCTGCTGCTGGCCAGAAGTGCCAGTGCTGCCCCCACACACCCTGCTGTCAGCACTTTCCTCCCCAGCCCTGTGCACCATCGGCATCCTTCAGGCCCTCAGAGTCAGCACCAAACAGAAGGCACAAGCAGATGCACCTGGCTGAGAAAATAAAATGGATTTGGATCTGATAGAACACCTGGGTATGAATATTCAATATATACATGCATGAAATCGTGGTACGTGTGTGTAAGCTGGTGTGTGAAGAGGCAAAGGAGCAGCTTGGTCACTTGCTGCAGTGATTGATGACCCTAAGTTTTATGGTTTCTCTGAGTTTTCACCTTGAGGGCTGTGAACTGCTGCTCCTCTCAGGATGCTAAGACCAGTTTCGTGTCCTGGCTTTGCTGAAGGTTTAGCCGTCTCTGTTGAACATTTATGTATTTTTAAAAATATTTGGGCTTTGATGTAATGATGTGTATGGACACTGGGAAGGTGGGGCTGGGGGAAGAAATGCTCAAGGCAGCAAAAGATGAAATGAACTGAGTAGAAACCCCTTGGATTTGGAAATCAGAAGAAATAAAAGGTCAGGAATGGCCCTCCAAAGAGCTTCAAGCAGGTATGTGGGGAGGGTGAGCAGAACCAGCACTGCTGATTAAAGACCTTTCAGTTGTTTATTCCCCTAATTTGCCCATAGTAATCCAATATTTACAGTTCCCTTCCTGTTTCCAAACCTAAACCACTCCACTTTGCACCATATCAATCTGTAATTGCTGTTCCCTGTTTAGCAGTTAGTTAATGGAAAACTGGAATGACTGTGGAGATATTAAATTCTGTTGTTGTGCCACCAGGATTGCAAAGATCCTGCCACAAAGATCAGGGGAACATTGAGGTTCTTGCTGCTTCTCACTCTCCTTGACTGACTGATGGATTTTTACTGGTTTTGATTTAACCTTTTCCTGTTGTACTGTCCCTGCCCATCCCAGAGAGTGCTGGAACAGGGAATGCTGGAGGTTTTGATAAAACCGATTCCACCAGTGTTAATCTCCTTTTCTGGGATGAACAGAGTGGTAGTTACTAAGCCTTGGGATGCTTTCCAAAGCAGAGCTGGAACGTTTTACCTTTGGATATTTGCCCTGAAGCTACCCTGAGACTGGGTTTAGGAACAAAAAAGAGGCAAGGGCACAAAGGCCACCTGACAGCAATGAGGATTTCAATCACATGGAGGGTCACTGCCGTCCAGGAGCGTCTGAAACCCAAAGGTTTATTGCAGGTGCTGCAGCTGAATGGAGGGCAGGGGGTGTTTGGCATGAAAACAGAAAAGGCTCAACTGAGACATTAGTTGTCCTGCTCTGTTTCCTGTGGGATGCTCTCTTCACAAGGAAGGCTGTCCTAAGGGGCAGGAGAGATGCTGAAGCATGTTAAAAAAATAAAAACCCAAGTCCTAAAAACAAGGATTTAAATGAAACTTAAAAGCTTGCAAGTTTTTTAAAAATAAATACAATATTTGCTTTAAAATATAGACTAAAAATTAAGAATCACAACATAACATTAAGGTGGTTATCTGGTGCTAGGATATTGGGGGATGGAGGAGGAAGAGGATGTGAACAGACAATAAAAGGTGATGAGAAGATGAGGATGTTACCAGCAAAACCCAGAGGGAACAGCAGCCCCAGCAGTGCCTGGGGGCAAATGGGATATCTGGATTTTGGGACCAAGTGTTCAGGAATCCTCATGACCAGTCTGACAAGTGACTTGAAGATCTGAATTTGAAGCAAAGGAAAGGAATTGGTAATTGTGAGGTTTTGGCTGCCAGGTCTGATATTTCCGTGGCAGAAGGGTGCTTCACTTCACTCCACTCCTTGCATTCTGCACTCATTAAGCTGCTGTCTAATCCTCAGCAGTGCAGAAAGAGGAGAAGACAGAGCTTAAACTTGTCATCACCCCAGCCAGTTTTTGGTCAGTGGAGTTCCCAAAGGCTGGGTGTGCTTCCCAGCTTTCCTATTCCTCTGATCCATGGAAAACAAGGAGGGGGGAATCCTACCAAAAGCTTGTTTAGAAACTTATTTACCTGACAAGCTCTTTAACGTATTTATGTGAAAAAAACCATAATATTTTAAGGCCAATGGGAATTCAGTCCCAAAGCTACAGGAAAACAGGCTTTTAAAAAAAAAAAAAAAAAAAAGAGAGAGAGAGAGAAAAGGAGCACTTCAGGTGTACTAAGGAAGGATAGAACTTCAGGCTGTCACAGAGTGTGAGATATGGTGCAATGTGGAAAATTCTCCTGAATTTTACCAAGGAGTTCATCTTCAAAGCAAGTGCCACCTAATTTGAGGTGGTTCAGGTGAGGCAGCACTTGCAACAAAGCGATAACAGTACCAAGGGAGACCAAATCATAGAGGTCGAGGCACAGGGTCTCCAGGTGCTCCAGTGCCACGATGGCAACCAGCCCCCTGTTCGTCAGGAAGTAGGCATTGCTGATTTCCAGGTGGCGGAGCCGCTTCATGTGGCGCCCGATGAACACCATGGCAGCATCGCCGATGATGCAGTGCCGCAGAACCAGGCGTTCGAGCGCTTCCAGGTGTGGAGCTGCCGCTTGGATCCCCATGTCAGTGACGCGGTAAGTGCCACAAAGGCTCAGCGTCTTCAAGTGGTTCTGTGAGGAAATGTCAAGAAGGTGATGGTCAGAAAAGGTGGGAATGCTGTGGATAGCGAGGTGCTGTACCTGCGGCGGCGGCAGCGAAGGGGACACGCAGAACCAGGCATCGGGGATGTCGCAGAGGCTCAGCTCCAGCGTGGTGACAGAGGCGGGCATGCTCTCGTACGGGACGTGGCGGAGGTCGGTCTCGGTCAGGCACAGCCGGTGGAGCTGGGGACAGCGCTTGCGAAGGGCGGCCAGCAGCGCCGGCGAGAGGAGCCGCTGCTTGCCGCGGGAGCGGGGCACGCCGCGCATCCGCAGCGTGCACAGGCTGTCGGGGAGCCGGTGCCGCACCAGGTGCCACAGCGTGCGGCGGCTGATCTGCGGGGAGAGGCCCGGTGCCAGGGACGGCGTGGGGCAGGAAGGGCACCCCTGGCGCAGTGGGGCTGTTCCCCCCCGCTCCCCCAGGCTCTGCCCGCCGCGGGGCGATCTCACCCCGGTCAGTCTGTGCTCACAGATCCCGCCTCCCCCCGTCCCTCCTGCCCACAGCGGAGCTCTCCCCGCCCGGCCCGTACCCGGTGAGGGCTCAAATCCACATGCGTCCAGACCGCCCGGTCCTGCGCCAGCCGCTGCCACCGCCGGCACACGCTGCGGGGAGGCGATCGGCCGTCAGCGCCGGGCCGGGGAAGCGGCAGGCGGCCGCTCCCGCCCGGGGACACCCTACCTGGCCGCTCGCAGCCGGTCCCGCAGCGGCAGCAGCGCCAGGACCTGCACCAGCACCGAGTCGGGCAGGGGCGGCCGCGCCGCCATCGCGGCCGTTGCTGCGGCAGCCCCGAGCGCGGCCCTGGCGACGCCTCAGCGCCGGCACCGCCCCAGAGCCTGGGGCCGCCGCTAGGCCCCGGGGCTCCGCGGGGCTCCGCACGTCCTGTTTGACCCCTCTCCGCACCGACAGCCCCTCCCGGCGCCTCCGCCCTCAGCCCCGCTGTCTCGTCCAGTCTCGCCCGTGTCCCTGCTCGGTGCCTCTTGTCCTGTCATTGCCCCCCAGCCCAGCCCCGATGCCTCTTCTCTCCTGGCACTGCCCCTCGTGGTGTCTCTTGGAGGAGAAGTGGCTTAGCACCGACCGTTCCTGGCCCAGTCACTCTCCCTGACGTGTTGTTTCTAGCACCCTGCTAATGTTCACGTGGCACCCGCTCACATAATTTCCCCTCTGGATGCCCAGCAGGCCATCACAGGACGGGAACAGCTGTCATGACTCTCAGAGAAGAGCCTGGAATATCTGCAGTGTGTAGTTGCAACCCAGGAAGAAGAGAATACAAAGTAATAAATTCAACTCTGACCTCAGGAAGATGCTTGGCCAGGTAAAATATGCTGTCCCTACATCTGCAAAGCTTTGTAGAACACGACACATTTCACTTTGGAGTTGTCTGCTTGTTGTCTGCTGTGGACACACACTGTTGTGTTGTATTTTCTCTTTATTCTGACACCCCTTCATGGCCTTCACAAGTGCACTTCACAGTGATGCCACCTCCTTGCCCCAGTGCCCCCAAAAACACACTTGTCTCTCTTTTGTAGCCCACACTGAGTGCTTTTTGCCCACAGCTAATGGTCTTTGAGCAGAGATCTCCTTGTCCTGATGTCCAGAAGTCATTTTGCTCCATTTGGTGGCAGGTTTCTATGATCTTTTCTCACATCCTTTGTGTAGGTGGAAGAGGAAGGGAGAAGCCTGAGGAGACTTCTCTGAAAGTCTGAGCAGCAAACGAGCTGCTTCTATAGAGGGGCAAACAGGATCTTCCCTGGTGGGGGAAGCTGTGGCCCTGCAGTCACAGTGGCAGTAGCAGCAATTGCCAGACTTGTCCCTGTACTTCCATGGCTTTGGTAACACCCTGGTCTCCCTGAGGAGGTGAATCTTCACAGGCAGCAGGGCAGAATACGTGTGAGATTTATGTCAGTCAAGTACAGGATGCTGAGCTCTGGAAAGTGAGCCAAGACTGCTGCTGAAGCCACCAAGGCTGCTGAAGGCTGCTTTCACCAGGAAGCCTTGGAGTCTGAACTTCAGTCGTGACAGAAAGCAAACTGAACTCCTTCCCCTTGGGACTTGTGGCTGCCTGTGCTGTGGATCCACTTCTGCAGTTCAGCAGTGTGTTGGTTGCGCACAGCCTGGATTTTGGCAGCCAGGGGGCCACAGAGGTGGCTCCTGTGAGAAACTGCTGGAAGCTTCCCCCATGTCTGGCAGAGCCAGTGCCTGGTGGCTCTGGAGATGGACGTGCTGCTGGCCAAGGCTGGGCCAGTTACAGAGGTTGGAAACGCCTCTGTGGTAACAGATTTAAGGAGAAAATCAAAACAAAGGGGGGGCGCACTTGCAGAAGAAATGTAGCAGCAATGCCCTTCTGCTCCCTGATCTTTGTGGGACTTTTGAGCTCCTGCTTCACCTACAGCCTTTGGCAAAGAATGGGGCCCACCAGCCCAGCTGGGTCTGCAGCCAGTGCCCTGGTGTGGGGTGTGTGGGGTCATTCCTCCCCTTCCTGGGGTGTTCACTGACTGATTCCTCCTGGCCTCCTTTACTGCTCCGTGGGCTCTCCAGCAGTGAGAGAAATCTGCTCCCTGAGCACCCGTAGTAACAGAAATAGAAAACTTTTCCCAGGCCCTCTTACTTTATTCTCCGAATTAAGCATGGCTCTGTGATTCAGCAGCAGTGCTTCTGGAAGGACACAGTCCTTGGGGAGGCTCCCAGATTCCATCAGTCTCCCAGTGGCTGCCCCACAGGATCAGATAGACATGAAACACTAAGTTTTGCAAAGTATAGAAATGGGAGGTCCTCAACCCCTCATTCCCTATATTTCCATTGCTTTTTGAGATATCAAAGATATGAAATATAAAAAATAAATATAAAGTTTAGAAACCAAACCAAGAAAATTAGTCCTAGTTCTCTGTAGAATGGCTGAGACACGAGAAGATGCTGCAGCCTCAGGGACCCCAACAAGCTGGAGAAATGGGCTGATGGATCCATGGCCCCTCTGAAATGAAAACCAGGATGCTGAGAAGGGCCTCGTCTGGTTTCTTCTGCTCCTTTGCTCATTAGTGCAGGACTGGGGGAGTGGGAGCTGGGGGAGAAGGAAGGATACGGCAGTGGGAACTTGGGCACAGGTGGGATAAGGCTGAAGAACTGGTGGAGGGGGAATAATGTGGATGGTGAAAATGGAGGAGAGGGGCCATCCTTGGTTGTGTCTGCACTGCTTTGCTCATCCTTCTGGGTATGCAGCCGGGAAAGGGAAAGGGAAAGGGAAAGGGAAAGGGAAAGGGAAAGGGAAAGGGAAGTCCCCCAAGACACTCTGAGCAGATCCTGAAGGGGCCAGTGCCTGCTTTCCTGAGGAACAGGGTGAGAAAAGAGGCAGAGATGGTGGTTTAGGGCAGAACCTCCTCTCATACTCCTGTACACCCTTGCACTGTGGAGAGCTGAAATCCAGGGAGATGCTCTCCAGGCTGGGGGAGACAGCCCTGGCACAGCCCTCTGCCAAAGGGCTTTCAGCAAATTCCCCCTCCTAGAGCAAAGCATAACCTGTGCTCATGCTGTGGCTCAATTGCTGGGCAGCACAAGGTTATCCTCCCAATGAGAGCTGGGTGTCAGCCTGCACTGGAGCCAGGGAAGCTTGAGAGGCTGGCTCTGTAATGGATCCCCGCCAGCTAATCGGTGTTTATAGGCTTAGATCTGCTGCTTGTTAATTTTATTCCAGCCCCTCGATTGAATTTCTCACATGTAAGTGAGCCCCACGAGTCCATCCCAGCCATATATAATGGATGGTGGTGGAGGGAAAGAACACAAATGTGGCTGAATGCCAGTAACCGATGCCCAGGCAGCGGTGCAGCAGAACCCTCTGCTGAACATCCCCCACTGCCAGAACCTGCCCTCAGTGCCCCTGAGCAAGAGGTTTCCTTTGTCCCCAGCACCTGGCCTGGGGCCATGACCAGCCTCGGCCGTTCTCCACTGGCCCCAAGAGGAGGACGAGGCTTGGAGCCAAGTCACCAAGCCACTATCTCCAGGAACGGCGCCAGTTCCCCCCACTGAGCCCTGGTGCTGCCACTCGATGCCCCATCAAATATTAACACAATGCTCAATGCCTCCGTGCCCTGCCCAGCACTGCAGGGCTGCCCGACCACTCCATCCTCCCCTCCTGCCCCATGTTGCTCACTGCTCCCACACAGGGACTTTGGGGGTGCAGCCACACCACCTCTGGGTGCTCCCTGAGCACGACAGGACCCAGCCCCCTTCAGCAGCCAGCTCAGCCCCCCGCAGCAGGTAAGATCCCACTGGGGCTGGGGGAATGGGCACCCCCATCCCGAGGAATGCCAGCCTGTCACCCCAGGAAGCAGGAGACCGGGCTGGGAGCATGAGTTGCCTGGAGAAGGGCTGGCGGCCATGAGGCGGCCCCGGGCTCGGTCCTTGGCTGCAGGGGGTAGCGGGCAGCAGGGATTCCTCAGCTCCGTCCCGTCCTCTGAAGGAATCAGATCCACCCGTGGCTGTCCCCCGAGGAGGGTTCTCCCTAAGGTCCGGGGTGATGTGTCGGGTCACCCCTCAGCTGGGGGGCCCTGCAGGTGTCGGGGCCCACCTCCCCTCGCTGCCCTCCCCCAGGAGGAGGCCCGCGCCTCTGCCCCGAGCATCCGCCCGGCCCGGCAGGGGATGGAGCCCGGCAGGTCAGTGCCGGCGGAGCTGAAGCTGCTCCGCAAGCCCTCGCAGCGGGCCAGGATCCCGGCGCCGTTTCTCGCGCACCCGGTAGGTCGCTGGCTCGGCCCGCGGCCCCCGGCTCGTCCCCTCGGCGGCCGTACCCCTTCGAGCCGCCGTGCCTCTGTCCGCACAGCACGGGGCGCCCGGGCCGACGGGGCCCCCCGGGCCGGACCCCGCGGAGGTGGACGCGGAGTCCCTGGTGCCCACGCACGATGAGCGGGGCCGGCTCATCCCCGAGTGGAAGCGGCAAGTGATGGTGCGGCGGCTGCGGGCCCGGCTGGCGGACGAGGACCCGGCGGGAGGACAGGTACGAGCGGCACGGGGAGCAGGGGGGCGCGGGCTGTCGCAAGCCGCTGACCGCCTCTCTCCGCAGGATGCCGGCTCCTGGAGCTTCTCGCCCTCCCACCAAGCCGTGCTGGGCCCGTTCGGGGAGCTGCTGACCGAGGCAGACCTGCATCAGTTGGAGACGGCGGTGGAGAGCCTGCGGCTGCGGCGGCGTGGCGAGGTGTACCAGAGCGAGCTGCGGCGCCTGGTGCGGGAGCTACGCGCTCTCTTGCCCGCCCCGCTGCTCAGCATCTCCGTCCGCAGCCCCCCGCCTGCTCCGGGGCTGCCGCTGCCCCTCTGGTGCGGCCGCCTGGCCGGAGCCGTCAACAGCCTGGCCGCGCTGCTGGGCAACGCCGAGGGGGCGCAGGGTCCCCGCGCTGCCGGGGCCGCGCCCGCCGCTCCCTGCGCTCTCCCCGCCGCTCCCTGCGCTGTCCCCGCCGCCGGCGGGCATGCCCGGGAGCCGGGGGGCAGCCTGGCGCAGCGGGAGATCCGGCAGTGCGGAGTTTGTGTCCGCAGCCTGCGCGGTGCCTTCGAGCCCGCCTGGGGCGCCGCGGGGAGCGCGCCGGCCGGCGGCGGCGAGGCGGAGGCCGCCAGCGACTCGGGCATCAGCTGCGAGGAGGCGTTGTCCGACGGCGGCTCCCCGCGGCACGGCAAGGGGCCGGGGCCAGAGTGGGGCAGCTTGAGGAAGGAACGGATCGTGATGCTCTTCCTGAGCCACTGGAGACGCTCCGCGTACGCGCCCTTGCGGCCCGCCGCCGCGGACCCTCGGGACACGGCGGGCAGCGGGGCCCGGGCGGCGGCCCGCCTGGCCCGGCAGCGAGCGGCCATCCAGAAGCTGCTGAGCGGCTGGCGGGACGCCGCCTCCCGCCGGCCCCCGCCGCCGCCCCCCGCCCGCACCCTGCTCTCCCCGGAGCAGTTCGTGTCGGCGGCGGGGGGCGGCCCGGCCGACTACGAGAGCCTGTCGCTGGAGCTGTTCATGCTGGGCTATTTCCGCATCTTGGAGCAGGACCTGTCCCCCGAGGAGCGCCGAGGCCGCCACCTGCTCTGTTTCGAGGTGTTCGAGCAGCTGGGCCGGCACGGCTGGCGGGCGGTGCGGGCTTTCCACCGCGCCGTCATCGACGAGATCGCGGCCGGGCGGCGCGGCTGGCGCGACGGCTTCGACGACATCAAGGCCCGGTACTTCGGGACTCCGCACAGCCCGGCCCAGCGGCCGGGGCAGGCCGGGGACGAGGGCGACGAGATTTGCCGCTACATCGATCGCAGCTTCGCCTTCTGGAAGGAGAAGGAGGCCGAGATCTTCAGCCTGGAGGAGTGATGCCGAGGGGCTCCGGAGCCCGCGGGCTGCAATAAAAACCTTCTCGGTTCTGTCCCAGCTGAGCGAGGCTTTCCGGGGCGGTGAAGAGAGCTGCTAAGCTGGGCGGGCCGCCGCAGCAGCCCAGCTCCCCTCTCCCCGGGCGGGTTCCAGGCCGCGGTTGCCGCCGCGTGTTTACGGCTGCCGCGGGGTGAGATAAAGACCTATATTTATAGCGGCAGCGGCAGGGCGAACCGGAGGAGCGAGGAGGGGCATAGAGGGACCCCCTGCTGCCGGTGGGGTGCAGGGAGGGGGCTGTGGGAGCTCGCCCCTCCAGGCTCGGTGCCCACCCGACCCCTTGGCGAGGGGCAGGCTTTCCTAAAGGCAGCGACCGAGGATGGGCGGCGGCGAGAGCGCTGCCCGTGCGGTGCCTTTAAGAGCAGGGAGCAGTGTCCAGGTGCCGCCTAAAAATAGCGAGTGCCCCTCGTCCCGGCTGATCCCGCGTCATGCGGCGTGTCCCTGCCCAGCGCGGGGACCGCGGTCCCTTCCCTCCCGCGGGCCGGCCGGGCTGGGCAGCGCTGCCGAGAGCAGGAGCGACCGCGCCGACAGGGCTCGAGCCACCCCGGGAATCAGCCCCAGCAAGCCGGTCGCCGCCCCGGCAGGGCAGCTGCGGCGTGGTGAGGAGAGAACGCGGCCAGCTGCGGGAGGGGGTGTGGGAAGCGCTTGTGCAGCCGCTGCTGTCCGTGACTCGGGCGCTGGGAAGGCGGGAGGATGTCGCGGCAGGGAGAGAGGGAGACAGCGTCGCCTTTTCCTAGCAGGGACAGCCTCGCCTCCCGCTGCTCGGGCACTGCCCGCCTGCCAGGCCCCGCGGCCATCGCCGGCACCATGGTGAGGAACATGGACGACTTTGACTTCTGCCTGCCTTCGCACGCCCAGGGCGTGCTGGAGGGGCTGCAGCAGTTCCGCACCAACCCCAAACTGGCCGACGTGACGCTGGTGGCGGGCGGGCGGGAGTTTCCCTGCCACCGAGGCATCCTGGCCCTCTGCAGCCACTACTTCTATGCCATGTTCTCCGGTGACTTTGCTGAGAGCATCGCAGCGCGGGTGGAGCTAAAGGAAGTAGACCCCAGTGCGCTGGAGATGCTGCTTGATTTTGCCTACACGGGAAAGGTCACCATCAACCAGGGCAACGTGGAGGGGCTGATGAGGACCTCCAGCCAGCTCCACTTCCCTGCCATCCAGAAGGTCTGCAGCCGCTACCTCCGGCAGCAGATGGATGCCACCAACTGCCTAGGTATCTGTGAGTTTGGTGAGAGCCACGGCTGCCCTGAGGTCTCCTCCAAGGCCTGGTCTTTCTTGCAGGAGAACTTTGAAGCCGTCTCTCTTCAGGAGGAGTTCCTCCAGCTCTCCAAGGAGAGGCTGGCTGTCTACCTCTCCAATGACCAGCTGCAGGTGCAGGAGGAGCGGAGCCTGGTCGAGGCTGTGCTGCGCTGGGTACGCCACGACCCGGCATCCCGAGCCCAGTTCCTGCCGGAGCTGCTGGAGCTGACCCACCTTGTCTCGCTGCCTGACCAGTACCTGCAGAACCTCCTTGCCACTGAGCCTCTCGTTCGTGACTCAGATGCCAGCAAGGCCCTCGTCGCCCGATCCCGCACCATGGTGGGTACCCCCTGCCCCTAAATGCCACTTCCTGAGCCAGGAAGGAGGAGCCTGACGGTCCCGTCCTGGCCTCTTCATCAGGGGCAGAGTGGCACCGGTGCCCTGAAGAACCCCCCCACCCCACCACAGAAGCTGGAGGAGGTGCTGGTGGTGGTTGGTGGCCGTGTGCTGGAGGATGGTGAGGATGAGGAGAGGGGGCTGGAAATGCCAGCTGCCACCAGGAACTTTGCCTTCTACAACCCCAAAAGCAGTAAGTGCCCCACACTTCCTCCATGTTAATTAACCATCTGTCTACCCTGAAGACACCTCTTGCCAAACTAGTGTCAGTTTAGAGAGACACTGGTTGGCTTGGGATGGGCTTGAAATGGGTGGCTTTAAAAGTGCCATTGCTGGGTGAGGGTTCATTGCTTGGCTCTGCTGGGTTTCAGGGCGATGGATGGCTCTGCCCGACTTCCCTGATTACAACAAATGGGGCTTTTCCCTGGTGGCTCTGAACAACGATGTGTACGTCACAGGTCAGTGCCAGGGCTGCTGGTGCAGGGGAGGCTTCAAGGAGCAGGGATGGAGGACAGGGGACAATGAGATGAGCATGAGGCACTGGTGTGGGGCCAGAGGCTCCTCTCTGAGCAAAATCCTCTCCTTACTCTCTGCCTGGGCAAATCTGGCCACGGGCAGGGAATACCCAGGGACAGCTGCACTAGGAGAGGGTGGCCCAGCTGATCTGTCTCTCTAGGTGGCTCCCGGGGGTCCCAGAATGACACATGGTCAACGACGCAGGCCTGGTGCTTCTGCCCCAGGGACGGGGTCTGGCAGCCCATCGCTTCCATGCTGAGAGCCCGGACAAACCACACCAGCGCCGTCCTCAACGGCGAGATCTACGTCATCGGGGGTAAGGCTGCAAAGACCCGGGGCTGCTGCTGGGGTGGGGCCATGCAGAGCAGCAGGGTGGCTGCAGTGTCCTGTCACCCTGCAGGGACAACAGTGGACGTGGTGGAGGTGGAGCGCTACGACCCGTACAACAAGAGCTGGTGTGCCATCAGCCCAGCCCCCAAGTACGTGAGCAATTTTGCAGCTGCCAGCTGCTTGGGCAAGCTCTACCTGGTGGGCTCCTGCGCCGTCAAGTACAACGCGCTCACTCTGCAGTGCTACAACCCCGTTCAAGGTGAGCGCTGACCCTGCTGCCACCAGTGCTGTCCCTGGGAGGGTACTTGGGGGGGACCCCCAGGCAGGTGACACCCCCGGACTGCCAGGCATGGTCCTGTGGGATGTGAGCAGGTGCTGACAGGGTGTGGTGAAGGCTGTGGTCCGGGAGCCCCAGGCTGTTAGCAGCACAGAGCTGAGTCACTGATGTCTGACACAGCCCAGAGCTGAGCTTCAGTGGAGTGGAATCTCTGGGGCATTGGGATGGGGAGGCTGCCTGCCTCAGGGAGAAACTAACCCCGTGTGACAGTGCCACCTCCTCAAGCAGACTCTTTCCCATCCCACAGCACCACTACAAACCACATCCTCACCCCCCACTATTTTTTATGCAAGACCCTCAACTGGGATGGGGACTGTGTGCCTGCCTGCCTGGCTGCTCTGCCTCCTCCCTTCCAAATTCCCCCTGAAATAGCAATGCTTTTTTCAGCCACTGGCAGCTGCACGGAGAGCCAGGGCTGGGGTGCACTGCTAATGGCTGCTCCTTGCAGATCTGTGGAGTGTGATCACATCTCCCTTCATCCCCAAGTACCTGTCAGCCCCACGCTGTGCCACGCTGCGCGGGCTCATCTACCTCATCGGGGACAACACCAAGAAGGTCCATGTGTACAACCCAGAGGCCAACATCTGGCAGAAGGTGGGATGTGGGGCCAGGCACGATCAGCCTCCCAGGGATATGGGGATGGTGTTCCCAGCTGCTTCCCCTCAGTGCCAGCACTGCCCTCTCCCTCCTACCCACTCATCCCTTGGTTCTGTTCACACCTGCAGGGCTGAGGATGCCCCATTCCCTCCTCCCCTGCTCCCCATCACACACGCACAAGGCACCAGAGACCCTCAAACCCCACAGAAGGGAAGGATGGGGTAGGGACACACATCTGGTGGGTCACCGTCCTCTGTTGTGGGAGTAGGAGGTCACCAAGGCATCCCTGCACATCTCACCCTGTCCCTCACACAGGTGCAGCTCCTGCACACTCTGCATGAGAACGGTGGGATGGTGGCACTGGGTGACCGGCTCTTTGTCACTGGCGGCCACTGGAAGGGCATGGACGGGGACTACCGGGTAGAGATGGAGGTGTATGACTGCACCAAGGACCTCTGGACACGCGAGGGCTCCCTGCCCTGTCTCTGGCTCTTCCACAGCTCCTCCTCCATCTTCATGGACACCTCCAAATGGACAGAACCTTTCCAGGGTGACCACGGGTGGTAGGAGAGCCTCAGTGGTGCCTGTCACCCTATGCAGCCATGGTCCCCTTTGTTCTGCTGCCTGTTCAGAGTGCTGAGTGGGAGGTGGAAAGCCCTGTGCCAGGCTGGCTGGGGCATCAGGAGCATGTTCTCCCCCACCACTGCAGGGAAAAGGCTTTTCCTTATAAACACGCTTTGGTTAATGCTCTCTTCTTTTCATTTGTGGGTTTGTGGTTTTTTTAGAACTGCATTTCCCCCCTCCTCCAAAACCCTAAAGATTTTAGGGTATTTCAAATCCTCCCAAAGTGTGGTTCATCCCACCAAAGCCTGAAATTGCTGCTTGGGAGCAGCAGCCTTTGCACAATCCTGGTTTCTCTCCGGGGACACGCAGCACGCGCCCCAGGGAAGTGCTCCATGGCCATGGTGAAGCAGCTGGCACCCGGGTGAGCCCCTGCCCGTGCGGTGACTCCCGCCCCAGCTCCCGTCTCTGGCGGTTCTGTGGCAGAGGGATGGGCGAGCACAAGATGAGGCTTCCCTGCCGGCTGGGCCCACCGCCAGCACCGCTGGCCGGCTCAGCTGTTCCCCTCCGGTTGTTGGTGTTCCCGAAGCGTTCCAAACACGCGGCGCTGGGAGCCCGCGGGCACCTCCCGCTGCAGGCTCCCCGCTCCGCTCCGCTCGGCCACGGGAGCTTTCCCGGCGGGGAGGAGCCCGAGGGCAGAGCCCGGCAGCGAGGCGGGGCCGGGGCCGGCAGCGGCGGCGGGATGCGGCTGCCGGAGCTGTGCCTGGCGCTTCTCTGCGCCGCCAGCACCGGCACCGGCACCGAAGCGCCGCGGGCAGCCCGGGAGCGGCCGCTGGCCCCGGGACGCGGGGAGCCCGGGGCGGCCCGCCTGGACCCCCGGCAGGTGTGGATGCTGCTGGCCGGGAGCCCCGGCAGGGGCAGCGCCGAGCGGGGCCGCTCGGCACCCGCGGGGCCCGGCTCGCCGGGAAGAACAAGCGCGGCTGTGCCCGAGGAGCTGCTGAGGGAGCTGCAGCTCCTGCTCGCAGGTACCGGGTGGGGACAGCAGGGCAAGACGAAGCAGGTACCTGCTCACAGGTACCGGGCTGGACAGCAGAGCCAGGAGGAGTGATGGCTCCCTTCCTAACGTCAGACTCCGGGGGGGTTCGGGGTCAGGCACGGCAAAGATGTGCAGGACAGCTGGGGAAGGGCGTACGGAGGAAAGCAGCAAAGGCAGCCCCCAGGCCGGGGCCCAGCGTCGTGTGGAAGCAGCCTTCCATTGCCAAACGCGCGAGGACATCGCTGTGGAGCAGAGCACGCGGCAGGAGCTGGGGCTGTTCCACATTGTGAGTGCCCAGCCCGCCCCTTGTCCCTGTCTGCAGGGGCACCTGCCCTGGCACAGGGACTCCTCCTCTAACCCCAGCCGTTCCCTGTGCCAGCCCGAGAGGGAGAGGCTGTTCCAGCGTGGCCCAGGGCTGAACCTGACCAGCGGGCAGTACACAGCCCCCCTCGCAGGGTACTACACGTTCAGCAGCACGCTGCACATCGGTGAGCCCCCGCACAGCCCTGCGGCCCCGCCGGGGCGGGCTGGGCTGGCCTCACCCCCTGCTCTGTCCCAGCGCGCAGGGAGCCGCGCAGGAGGAGGCAGGGATGCCGGGGGAGCCGCCTGCGGGTGCTGATCTGTGTGCAGTCCTGCTGCCAGCACAACAGGTATGGCAGGGCCAGGGAGAGGGGAGGCAGCCCCGAATTTCTGGGAAAGGAGGGGCCTGCCCTCCCACTACTGCCCTCACCCTTCTGCAGCCAGCTGGAGAGCGTGTCCTGGCTGGAGAGCAGCGGGGACCTTTTCACCATCTCTGTCACAGGCACCCTGTACCTGCAGGTGAGTGGGGCCAGCTCCACTGCAACAGTGCTGGGCAGGAAGGTACCTTCCATGGCCCCAGCCCAGGGCTGGGCAGCAGCTCTGCCTCAGGTGACCTGCAAGCCCCAGAGCAGTCAGGGCAGAGCTCTGCTAGGGCACTGTGGCACAGACAAAGGCCTTGTGCTGCTCTTTCCCAGAAGGAAGGGTAGGGGCAGCTCCTCCAGCTCTTGGTTGCTGTGTGCAGGGGAGAGCTCTCTCCTCGGCCCTGCCAGGCCATGCCTGGAGCCCAGGGGAGGTGGCCTGGCCCTGCTAATCCCTCTCTCCCCCCAGGCTGGGCAGTATGCCTCTGTTTTTGTGGACAACACAGCAGGCTCTCCCATCACCGTCCAAAGTGGCTCCGATTTCAGTGCTGTGCTGCTGGGAGTGTGAAGAGGCTGAACCATGCTGAACCTGTGGCAGGAGCAGCCAGACCCTTCCCTCTGCCAGTCACCATCGTGTCTCCCCTGCTAAGGAAGACCATTTGCTCATGCTGGAAACTGCAGTCTGGTCTAATACTGCAATACTGCTCATGCTGCAGAACCAGCTGAAGATGGATAAAAGATCATGAAGATGATGATAATAATAAAGCAGCCTGAGCAGGACTTAAAGGCATTCACTTTTATCTAAAGGCTAGGCCTAGAAGTTTATCTTGGAAAACACTGTGGCAGTGGCAGCAGATGGCTGCCTAGGCTCAGCTCCCACCATGCCTGGTACAAAGCCCCACCTGTGCATTTTTCCCTTAGTGGACCTCCCCTCCCTGCCCAGGCTCAAGTCTCAGCAGCCCAGGTCAGATCATGCATTGCTTCAGCTCCCTCAGTGTGTGAGCAGAGGGTTTGCTGGCAGGAGCCAACATCCTTTATACTGATCATCAAAGCAAAGCCCCAACAACGTTGGATTGAAGCAAATTGCTGCCCTGTGACTCTCCAGAGCAGGCACTCCCTGCCCGTGGCACAGGGCCTGGCTGTGGCAGCCCAGATACAGCCCAGCTCTCTGGCTGTGATAGCTGCTGGGCTCAGCAGGGCCATGGGCCTACGTGCCAGAGGCAGGGCTGCAGCAGGAGCACCAGGAAGGCCGAGCGTTGGATTTCCGAGTAGCACTCGGAGCTGGCTAAGTGCTGCCAGCAACTCTGCAAGATAGCCTGAGCTAACAGCCCCACCTTCTCCCAGGGATGTCCCTGGCCCTGCCTGCCTTCTCCAAGGGCTGCATCTCCCTGAGGAGCCTGGTGAAGGAGCTGTTAATGCAGCAGTTTATGGACAGGGGTGTCTGGGTCTGGAAAAAGGGGGAGCTGAGAAGGGAAAGCAAGTTACCTTTCTGAAATTTGCAATCAAGGTTTATTTTGCCACAACAGAAGCAACTCCATGCTACTCTGTCTGGGCTCTCCAAATTTGCCTTTCAAGAGTAGAAACAGGAGAGTGTGCTGATAACAAAGGCATTCCCTCTCAGCTCATCCTGCACTGTAGCCTTACATCAACACACACAGGAATGGCTGGGGGCAGAACAAGCTGGCAGGGGACCAGCACTACCCAAAATCTGTGCCAGAGGGCCATTCCTTCCTCAGTGCTCTGCAGGAGATGCAGACAGAGTCAGTGTGCACCCCCAGACTAAACCCATGAAATATAACTCACTACTGCTGGAGCAGAAATAGAAGATGGTCAAGCCATCTGTCCCAAACAGGACAGGAGCTGGGACCAAGTCCCAAAGTTCCAGAGACACAGAAAACAGAAAGGAGCCAGGGAAGCCTCACAGCCCTGCACAAAACAGCAGGCACCACCCTGCCCTTGCCCCGCTCTCCATGGACTACAGCTGTGCCTCATCAGAGCAAGGAGGCAACCACAATGCACACCCCTCAGCCCACCTCCCTCCCTGCCCCCTCACACACAGGGTGGGAAATTGGAAACTTCAGGGTAAGGTAGCTCAATCCATTTAGCTTTCATTCTGTCATTTGGTCTTGGGCCAGATTTTCTCTGGAAAACAGCACACTGACTGCAGCAACAGCTGGTAGAGGCACTGAGACAGGATGAGACACCAGACACTAATTAGTACCTAAAACCTGAGATGCCTTCTCCTCAGATAGCACAGACAAGCACAGAGCCTGCCTGCAGCTCAGCTGCCTTTTCACCAAGTCCATTTGGTGAAAACACTTTTTCCAAAAAACATCAGGAGCAAACTCCAGCCACTTTTTCCATACCAACGTTGTGGTAAAACTCCAACATGTTCTGCAAGCACAGGGCAGGTATGCTGCTGCTCTGCAAGGGGTGTTTGTGGCTGTGAGGCTGCCTGCAGCTGAGGGACAGCTTCAGAGTCAGATTTCCTACCCAGTGTGAAGAGGACAGCCCACACCACACCCCAAGCTGGTGGCCTGGAGTACCTCACAGTCTGTATGGTACCGAGTGCTGGAACTCCAGGGTCTTGCACACAGCTCAAGGATGCGGACAGCACAACTGCCCCATTAAAAAACTGGCAGAGCTCATGCCCCCAGATGAATTCACCTTCGCCAAGACACTGAACCCCAGCACCGAGCGAGCTAACCTGTTAGAAAAAGCCCATCTTTATTTACACTGCAGAGCCCACACACGGCGTGCCCGCCGCGGCCGCTCAGCGCCCCACGCGCACCAGCATGACGGTGACATTGTCGGCCGAGCCGCGCTGCACGGCCTTGCTGGCCAGCCGGTTACACGCCGCCTCGTAGCGCGCGTCCGCCTCCAGCTTCCCCTCCCTCATCTGCATGGTCTTGTCCTGTTGGGACACAGCAAGGTCACTGCCCCCAGCAAAGGTAGGATTGTGTTTTCCAAACACAGGGGAGCAAAATAAATGCACACGCGACACAGGGAATGACAGAGGACGCTCTGTGCCCTCTGCAGTGACAAACCCAGCCCCCAGGCCGCTTCTCCTCACCTCCAGGCAGGACACAATGAAGTTCACAGCTTCTTCTGGTGTAAAGACTTTGAAGAGGCCATCACATGCTATCAGAATGAACCTGCAAATCAAGTGGAGACAGGTTCCAAGGCTGAATTTTTGGCTCCTCAGCTACAACAAAATCACTCCAATCTATTTTATGAACATCCATGCTCAGATCCGAAGGGAAGATGCTGTAAAAGCTCATCTGAAAATCCCTTGGGACCTACCATTCATGGCAATTCAAAACACAGGACAAAGAGCCAGGCAACCAATGTAAGACCTTGATCCTGACATCCTGGTTGTGCTACAACACTGGCAAGATCATATATGATCCTGGTCAAATATTCCTTTGTTTCTCTAAGAACTGCTTCTTTCCTTTGAGTCCTTTTCATTCATGCATTTTCCCTGTGAAGCAGCTAATGCAAGGAAATAGAGAAACAAAGCTGAACCCCTCATGTACATCACTTTACATTTCTACACTCCTGAGGTATGTTGTAATTTAAATATGCAAATTCAAAAGCAAATCACATAACAACAGTGAGCAGAAAACTCTGACACAAAGTATTGCCACAGGCTGCAGAAGGTTGAGGAGATGCAAAGCCCAAGACAAGGGCAGCACCCCCTTTAGGATGGGGAGACAGCCTGCTGTGCACTCCTGCCTGCACAGGGAATTGAATTAACCAGGAGCCCTAACCAGAGTCAGCAGGACAAGGAGAACTACAACAAACCTACAGAAGTGGTCAGTCTGCACATGCCTCTGAAGACATCATTTCAGTGCATGATACTCAAGAGTATCTTTAGAAATATTTTAGTGGATCACTTGATATGGAACTCTAATCCCAGAAAAAGCAGCAGTACTGGGTTACACTCTCACCTCTGAGAGTCTGCAGGGCCACACTGACACAAAAGCTCACTGCAATTTGTCGTTGCCAATCATATCATGGAAAAGTATCTCAAATCTTCAAATATCACAGCTGAATGCAGAAGTATTTATTGGCACCACAGCTGCTAAAAACAACTCCTAGACAGAATGGAGACCCAAGAACTCAAGCCTCAACTACCTGCTTGAACACTGATTTGTGAACTTAATCAGAGCACAGACAGGACATCTAAGGCTTGTGTGTGTGTATGCTATTGCTATGAGGCTGGTTCCTCCAAGAGGAGCCTTCACAGCATCTTGGCAGAGCAGCAGATTATCCCACTGCTCTAAAAAGGAACAGAAGCAGAGACAGCAGCAGCAAGAGCATCCATCCTCTAACTGGGGGGATCAGTCTGAAGTGCCTTGGCTCTCACAGCAGAACAAGCAGGGCTGTGCAGCTTCTGCTGAGCAGGGCTGGGGCAGAGAACCCCCCGTGCAAGGGCACACTTTACCTGTCATTGTGTGTGAGCTGGCAGCGTTTGATATCTGGCACAGAGATCACACCACAGCGCTTGTACTGGCCATCCCCAATGGAGCGGGAAACCTCCAGCACTCCCAGGACTCTCCCGTCCCTGCACAAGGAAAGAAAGCACTCAGAGCCCTCCCCACGTGTGTGTTTCACTGCACTGCCTGATGGGGACACCGTGCACCCATCTGCTTGTACAAATAAAGACCCACTTCCCCAGCAAGGTCAAATCTTCCCTTCAGAGTCTCCTTCCCTTTCTGTATGTTTGTGTGAAGCTCTGGGAAACAAGTGAAGGGGAGGAGGAAATGAAGCCAGGAGAGTTCAAGGCTGCTTTCTGTCACCCTGCCCTAACTCAAGTCCTGCTTAGCCTAGCAAACTGGGGCAGTAAAATTATATGTGAGCTTAACTCCCGGTGGCATAGTTCAAATAGAGATTATTTTTTGGCAAGATATCCAGCAAACTGCTCTTCACTAGAAGCAGAGTGGCAGAGGCAAGAGGTCTGAGTCAGCAGCCCCTCCTGTGTCCTGTCTGAGGACACCAACCCCCACAGACTGGCCCAGTGCAGGCAGTTCCCAGCTCCTGATCACTTGGCCTTCAGTAACCACTGATTGCAGCAAGCAGTTTCTGTGAAACCTACATTACAACACCCCTTAGGAAACACCTCTAGGTTGTCAAGCTTTTCTAACTAACCAAGCTCCCTAGAGAAAAAGCTTCCCACACTTCACCTTTCCAACAATCAAGCATCTTCTCCCAAAGAGGCTCTTTTGTGCCCTCTGAGAATACACAAAGCTCATTCATCTCTAGTCCAAGCAGCCCCGCTTGAGATAAAAGCAAGAAGCAAGGCATGTCACAGAGAAGAGATCTGACACTCACACACTTTGTGGCTTATCTCTTGGGCCCAAAATATTGAACTGCAAGCAGTGGGAGAGGCTCCCAGGCAGTCAGGGAGCAGTTCTGAAAGGAGCTAACAGACACTGGGCCATCTCTTTGCCATGTGCAAAGAGAGATCAGTGCTGAGTGCAAGTGGCAGCATGTGCTCCCCAGAGATAAGGGAACAAAGTGCTCCAGACACAGCAGCATAACAGAACTGAGCCCACCCCTCTCCACCCTGGGTGCATTTTGCTTCCACAGGCATGAAGATACTTCACCTCCACTGAATCCTTTCTTTGTGAAGATGCCACTAAATCAAGAAACAGCCTTCAAAGAACAGAGAAAACCTAGCCACAGAAATAAGACTCAGCTGTTGTGTTTGGCACTCACTCCCCAAACAGCCATGAACTCCTTTTTGCACAGGAACATTAAGATAATCACATTTTGGCTCCAGAAAACTCCCTTCTAATTCAAAGAGCCTCAGTTCATCATCCAACCCCAGGGGAGCAACACCAATGGACATTGAGGGCTTTTTGTGCTCTCTCAAACCATGCCCCCTCTCAGAGGACAAGGACAGAGGAGTCATGCTGCAAGGAAATCAGTTCTGTTCAACACCACAGTGTGCAGAAAGCAGTAACTTCCTCAACAATCCAATCCAGCTCCACAGGTCCAAATCTGTAGGTCAAGCTTAAGCATGCCTATGCTGGTATCCCACAGGGGTCCTGCCCTGGCCATCCTAAAGCTCTGGGAACCACCAACCAACTGCAGTAACTGAATCCTTACAGGCCTCAGGCAGCAATTCTCCCAACTAGGATGCACACTGGGCTGAGGGAGCTTCAGAACCCCAATGCTCAGGCCCCAGATCAGGCCAGGGTTTAGATCAGCTCACTCTCACCCTCAGGCACCCACCTGACGTTTCCCCCAGCTTTCTGTATCCGCATCCTCTCCTCGTACTGGGTGGGGTTGTGCTCCTTGCTGAGGCTCAGGGCTGTGTGCTTCTGACTCTCCTCATTGTAACGACACAGAATGGCCTGTGCTGACAAGAGACCACCATCAAACAACAGCACAGCTGCAGCACCAGCTTCCAGAGAGCCCCAAACTGCAGTGCATGCTGCTACACCAGGCCAGTGACTGACTGGTGGCCAGGGGTGCTTCTCAGGGCTCCTTCCTAGGCAGGAGGTGCTGCTCAGTGCTTTTAGCAGTGACCTGGATGCAAGATTGAATGCAGGATTATTAAGTTTGCTGATGATACCAAATTGGGAGTGCTGTGGACTCTCTGGAGGGACCAGAGGCCTTGCAGAGGGATCTGCAGAGGCACCACGGGGCAGGGCCAGTGGCACAGAATGGCTGAGTGCAGTGCTGGGCTCTGCACCCAGGGTGGAGCAACGCTGAGCACGAGGCTGAGCTGGGAGAGGAGGGGCTGGGGGTGCAGGAGCCATGGCAGGAGGGCAGGTGGCATCCTGGGGCACCCCACACAGCCAGGGCAGCGGGTCAGGAGGGGGCATGGCCTGGCTGTGCTCAGCACTGGGCACCTCACCCAGAGATGGTGGGAAGGGGCTCGAGCCTGTCCAGGAGAGGAGAACCAGGCTGGGGCTGGGGCTGGAAGGACCTGGGAGCAGCCTGAGGGCTCTGGGTTTGTCTGCTGGGGAGGAGGAGGCTGAGGGACAGCCTCATCCCCCTCTGCAGCTTCCTGAGGAGGGGGCATGGAGAGGGAAGGGCTGATCTCATGGGAATGCTGCTCTCAAACAGGGCCAGGGAGGTTCAGGCTGGACATGAGGAAGTGTTTCTTTGTAGAGCACATAATCAATTACTGCACCAGGCTTCCTGGAGAGGTGCTTGGTGCCCCAGACTGTCAGTGTTTAAGAGGCATTTGGGCAGTGGTGTAACTTTAGGGCAGCCCTGAAATGGTCAAAGCAGTTGGACCAGATGATTGTCATAGGTCCCATCCAGCTGAAATATTCAAATATTCTCTTCTTGATACTGTGAGATATTGAGCACCACCAAGAGAGAGCTTTCACACACCACTTTACACCATGGGAGACAACACAGAAGTACTCTGTACCCACCCACAACAAGATGCTTTGTAGGAACAATTGAGTAGCTCGTGACAACTCAGACATCCCAAACAAACAAACCCACAAAGCTCTGGGCAGAATGAAGATGCCACCAGTGGCCTCCATTCTGCTTACCCGGCTGTCCCCGAGGTTGGCTATGTAGAGAATATTGTCAACAGCTAAGACACAAGTAGCTGTGGAGCCATCCTTCCACGCTGGCTTCCTGAAGGGAACAAAAATGAGATTACCAAAGGGGAAAAACAACACTTAAGAAGTTACAGAGTGTTCATGGGGACTCAAAGCAGTGTCCTGTGCCAACACACAGCAATCAGGCAGCACAAGCCCACAGCAGCTGCCTGCTAGCAGCTCAGGTTGGTGAAAAACAGCAAACTGGAGAAGAACAGAGGAACTACACAGGCTACAGATTTCTGAATGCACAGCCAATGCCCAGCTGCTGTAACTACTGCCAACCACAGCTCCCACACCAACTCCTCCTCACACTCAGCTCCCAGGAAACCTCCTGTGTGAGCAGAACAGGCTCAGCCCTGATGGCTGCCCAAAAGCTACAGCATCATGAGCAAACAAGCACTCCACACTCCTCCTTGGGAAGCTTCTTTGCAGCAAAACTCTGCACCAGAAATTCCTTATTTTTTGCTTACATTTTCCTTCCCTTTCTCACAGAATCCCTGCTCCCTCTCCCACCTCAGCCCTCACCACCCCAGCAGCAGCACCACTGGCTCTGTTGCTCTCCTCCCATTTCACTTCCTGTAGTTAAGCTTTTATCTCTAGAGCTCTAGGTAAAATGAGAAGTATTTCTCAGATTACAGCTGCCAGACTAGTCCTGTCCACAAAACAGCTTGGCTATGATGCCATTCTTCACTGAAACTAGCACTGAGAGACTAATTTCTTGACATATTTCACCCAGTTTTTCCTTACTTTGAAGGTGTGGCTGCATGAACATGATTCATTTCAATCAATACAGCTATTGCTAGCAATCCTTAGTCACAAGTCATGTTTCTGACCAGAGGCTGGTTTGAGAAAGACACTGACAGTTCTTGACAGACTCAAGAAAGCATCCTCCTTTTGCCTGGTCAAACTTCTTGTTCTGATTAGGCTTAAGAGACTGAGCCAGTTTGTAATTTACTTAAAACTGAAAATTTTCAGGGAATCAAATGCATCAGCAGTCTCTCCATCTATAAGAAAGGTGTCACTGTGATACAGAACAGTAAAAAAGCCAAACAAAACGTGTGTAAAGGATTGGTAACAAAGTGTTTGAAATGCAATCTCTGTCTTCCCTAGTCCACACATTTGGTGTGTCAGTTCAGAGACAGAGAAGGGTGCTTGGCACTACACACCCAGCTGCAAGGCAGCCTGGCATTTACCCCACTGAGGGACATCCTTCACCAACATCTGCTTTCTAAAGAGTTGAAGAAAGCAAGATTTACATTTACATTGGGAGACATAGGTCTTTCAACACTGGGCATTAAAAGCTGCTTCAGGGATGTGTTCGAGCCTGACAAGCAGAGCTCTGAAGAAAGCTTAGTGTCCCCTACAGAGCCCCTCCTGCCACACACTGATGTCATCAACACAGAGACCCCACCTCAGGCAGTACAGGACAAGTCTCTTCAGCAACATGGCAAGTCTTTAAAAAGAAATCAAACAATCCTGATAAGGATTGACCCTGTTAAGGACAGAGATGGTCCTTGGACCTGTTTTGCTTCCTTCCTCTGGAGAAACATTTTAGTCTAAGGGATCCTATAGACCACTGACCATAGAGTAAGAGTGGAACATGCCATAATCTAGTTCTAGTTCTAGCAAGCACTCAGCTGGCAGAGTCACAGCCTGGCACAGTGGAGCTGTGTGGAGTTTTGCCAAAGCACAGGAATGACACAAGGAAGGTTTCCCTGCTCACAACTCAGACCTCAGAGATGCACACTAAGAAATACAAATGAACAGAAAGCATTTGCACTTACTGGCTGGATGCCTGCTTTAGGAACTCCTCATCTGTGTGTTTGAAGGTGTCCAAAAGGCATCTCTTCACAGTTTTTTCCACACTGGCTACCTCACCTGTCAGACAGGGAAAACAGCAACTAAGCTCCAAGTAAAACATATCTGATCTATCCTGGTCTGTCCCTTTGCTCATCCAACATTCAGTCAGGCAGTGCATGTCTTGAACTCTGCAGAGCAGCTGGGGCACCTCCTGGGCTTACCCTACCAGAAATCCACGCAGTAGTGCATGTGGAGAGTTCATGACATACATCTCTCCACCACAGGAGTATTTGCACACTTGATGTGGCACTGCCAGAAGTGGCAACAGCACATCCAACACTGGTTTTGTGAGTCACAACTTGCACCCTTGTGCCAAAAAGGCTTCCAGCCCTCCTCCCCAGCAGACACAGCAGTCTTGCAAGCCCTCTGGGAATAAGGGATGGGTACTGTAGGACTACACCCAAACAGATCAGTTTCCCTATCCACTGCCAAGGCAGACAAGGTGATGGTTGTCCTACAACCCTTATTCCACTCCTCTCACCTTTAGGAAATTTCTTTATCAGGTTTTGGTGCAGATTCTGTGCTGCAAATTTGGAGGCTCGGACTCCCCCGTGGCCATCAAAAACAGCGAAGTATGAGACACGTGTGCTGTGAGGGGACAAAAGGGGACACAAGAGGCTGAGAAAGGCCACTAGCCAGGGAATGGGAACAAGCACAGCCCTCTCCATACCACCCTGCCCTGGGTCAGCCACACCAACAATCCTGCACGCCAAGGCACAAAAGGCAGCAGGTCTCTGAGCTCATATATTCAGCATTTACATGGTTTATGTGGTCCAGCACTGAGAACTTTCTTGTAGTTTTCCACTCCTCAAGAAAATGAAGGGCTAAAGGGTTAATAGACCTGAACTTGGCATAAAAGCAAATAAACATTTTACCTCAAGGACACTGCAACTCTCCAGCATTACAGGCATCAGTCTAGCCAATGCTACAGTACCTTCCATGCCTAAGCTTCTTCCAACTATGCTACAGAGAAAAGCCTTGGATCTCTCAGAACACAAACCCCTATGGGACAGTACTAGTTCAGAAGCTAAATCCAGTATCAGGGTGATACTCGAGAACATTATTCTAAATTTACACACCCACTTATACTTGGGTAACACAGGATCAACACCCACAGTCATCAGGCCCCCATGGTGCTCATAAAGTCAGTGACTGAACCCACTAAGCACCCCTCAAAAGGAGGTGTTTGTACACACAGCCCTGTGAACTGCCTGGCAGCACAGCTAGCTGATGCTTCACCCCAGGTCTGCCAGTAACAAGCCCAAACCACGCACACAAGAGAGGCAGGCAGGAGCATCAGCTGCTGAAAGCAGAAAGGATCATCCCGTGGGCTTAGCTGAGCCAGCAGGAGCTCCCTCACCCCCAGGCTGGCTGCTCTGGCAGCTGGGGGCACTTACATTTGGGAGGGCAGAGGCCGGCACTCCTCGGTGATGTCGTTCAAGATGACGTGTGCATCCTGCATGTCTTCTCTCTCACCTTTCCTCTCTGCCACATAACCCTTCAGGCCAAGAATGCCCACTGATCCTAAAGGGGAACAGAGCAGACATGCAAATCACACCCCTCTGTCTCCTCAGCTCAGGCTAAAAACCAGGAAGTTCTCAGCTTTCAGAGCCCTGTCCTGGCAGTGCAGCCCTCATCCTGCAACAAAACATCCAGCATGTGCTGCTGAGCAGGACATGTTTACTCTGTAATATGGGTTTTCATCTGCCCCCAAGGTCAGCAGCTCTAAAAGCAGCCTGCCCTCATTTCAGCAGCAGCTGTAGCCAAGCAGGACTGCTGGGCACTGGAAGGGATCTTAGCAAACAGGGGCAGGGGACAGGGTGGGCAGGGGAAGCAACGTGGCACTGAATAAACTGAATAAAATAAAATGCAGCTCAATAAAGCACAGCTTTAAAGAGTGCCCTAAGGACAGGAAATCCAGGTCTGGTGTTCCCAGGACACGTCCTTTCCTTTGCACCCCTGAACACATTTCCTCCCAAAGCTGTAACACAGCACACAGGCACTGAAGCCAAGGGCCCTGTCTGCAACAAGCCTGTCCCCCCCTCTCTGGCATCCTGAGCAGCCAGCAGAGATTTGTGGAGGTGGCAAAAGAAAGTGGTGTGGATCTAGCCTTGCACACACAATCCCCCTCTTGTGTCCAGCTCCTGCTGCTCCAGGGCTCCTGCTGCTCCAGCAGGGACACAAAGAAGGCCCAGGTGAAGGAGACAGAGCCAGGAAGCTCAGGGAGCTTCCAGAGACCCCTGCAGCAGTTTGTTTCCTACAAGAGGCTGAAGAGGCAAGCAGACTGAAGAACCAAAGCTCAGCTTTGTTCTGGACTTACTCAGCCCAACGCCAAAAGTACAAATTGAGTACATTTGTTTTCAAACTGTCTGAAAACCTTTACAAACTTTCTTTTCCACAAGTTCTTCCCTGCCATTCTTCTCTTCCTCCTCCTCCAAGGACTTTCTCTTCTGTCCTTTCTCTTGGCTCTCTGCTGATGAGACTTGCTTAGTAGCACTGGAGGCTGAAAGAAAAGCAAAAATGCAGGTGGCTCAAGTGTCCCAGGACTGTTTTACTTGCACAAACTCAGCAGCAAGTCCTTTTATACCAAAGCACACTCAGGAGTGCAGGCTCACACACTTACACAGCATTAAGTGACCACAGTTACTACTGAATAACCTACGGGGCTTATTCCTTAGCTACCAGGCTTTTTTGTTTTGTTTTTTTAAGTTAATTGCTCAGGAAGTTAATGCTACAGGCTGGAACATTTCTACATTATTATTATTATTCTCTCTCATCTCTGCCCACAGCAATCCAAAGGAACTTATTTTATTACTCAGAAGAAGTTTATTTTTTTAGAAGGTTCAGAAGGCTATAAATTAAAGCTAGCAAGTAAAACCTGATGTCAGAACTCTGGCCTTCTCCTTCTGGAGATTCAGGCTCCTGTGGGTATAGGGAATTATCTCAGCTCCTCCCAGGTGACAGCAAGCACATGCAGAAAGCCTTGCCAGGGCAGTGGCTGCACCAGGGCACTCCCCTCCCAAAGCAGGGAGCTTCCAGACAGAGCACCAGGGTCCCCAGGAGACAGGAATGCACTTCTGGGAACAGGCCTCATTTTAAGATTCGGGATCCTGATTTAAACAATTGGGGCACAAACTGCCATGAGAGGTGTCAGCTAATCTGGCCTGGAGAAACAAGCACCAGGCTGAGCTGCTGTGTGTCCAACACAGCTGTGGGCTGCCCCCAGAGAGGGGTGGCTCAGCAGAGGCTGAGGAGGGACACAGCTCCTTACCTGGGTCACCACTGCTGGCTGGTGGGAGACCATCAAAGAGCAAAGAGCCTTCTTTTCCTGGAGCACAAGAAGAGGACAAAAACAATTAAATACCTTTGTTCCTTTCAGGGAATAAAGCTTTGCCTATGTCTCTCCTGAGGTGAAGAAATTATGTCAGTTTAACAAAGAGAGCCAAATTTCTACTTCCATTACTAGTCAAACAAATCCAGGCTTTGCATTTGCTCCAGGGAACATTTTTAAGGAATGAATTAATATATGTGGAACATCTATAACACCCTGTTTTTTTTATAAAAAACCAAACAGGATGCAGCTGGTCTACATGCCAGCACTGATAACCCTTCTGTCTTTATTCTGTTCTAACAAAGAACAAGATTTACACACATTTCATCTGAAAGAGATGCTGATGCAGAAAACACGGAAAACCAAACTAATGGTAGGAAGAGAGCACCCATACCTGAGTCAGCACTGCTGGAGGGTGGCAGATCATCAAAGAGCAGAGGCCCTTTTGGGGCATCTTTCCCTGCAAGGCACCAGGGCAGAGTGAGGAACCAGTGCAGGCACTGCTGGGGGAGTTGCTCTGAAAGGAACTGTCCCAGGCAGCACCCACGGGGTGAACCACGAGAGCCCACTTAAATCTGTAAATTCAGCAGCTGCTACACAAACAAAATAACCACCTGCCTGGGGCTGAGGTGAACTTTTGTCTTGAAAACTGGATTTTGGGTTTTTTGGGTTTTTTTTGGTTTTTTTTTTGCTAGCAATCCACGAAGCTCAGCAGCACAGCGAGAGGCGAGGCTCCAACATGGTCTGACCCGCAGGGAGCTGCACCTCACACAGAGCATGCAAAAACTGCAGCGGGGCGAGCCCAGAGCAAAACAAAGCCACAAAACCCAGCAAGCCCGGCAGTTCCTCCCTGGTTCCCAACCCGTCCCCTCACCCTGCCCCGCGCCCCTCACGCTGGCCGCGGCCTGGCTGCTGTGCGCCGAGCCGCAGCAGGCCCGGCGGGGCCCGCAGCCCGCCAGGCGAGCCCGCGGGCCGCACCGTGGCGGCGGCGCTGCCCGCCCTCAGCGCCGCTCCCGCCCCTCCCGCCCCGCCCGCCCCGGAGAGGACGCTCAGCGCTCGGGAGTTGCGTTAAATGCGACATTTATTTCAGAACCGAACAAGCCTCACGTGCGCACGGACGGCCAGGACCCGCAGCGCTGCCCCCCCCGGCACACGGCAGGGAGCGCCGGCGGGAGGGCGGGGAGCGCGGCCTCGCTCCTGCCAGCCCTCCCGCCGATGCCCGCCCGCCTCCCGTGCCACCCGCTGCCCTGTGCGGTTTCCCTTCCGGCTGGGCTTGTCGTGCTTGAGCCTCCGCTGTGCATTCCTTGCCGAGGGGATGGGGCCGGGGCGAGGGCGGTGCCGGTCGCAAGGCGGGCGGCCCCTGTGCCGCTGCATCCAGCGGCCACTCCGGTTCCCCCGGCTCCCGCCTCCAGCCGAGCCGTCTGCTCTGCAGGTTTGCTGGCCTCAGGCATGGCTCGGCTCCGGCTGGAGGATGCCCTTCAAGCTGGCTGCGTCTTGTCTGTGGCACAGGCAGCACGGCACAGCCCTGGCCACTGAACCTGTGTCTGGTCCCTGACAGACACTGGTCCCGTCTCTGCCAGAAGCTGGCTCCGTTCTGGAAGAGCCTCCCCTCAGGTACTCCCTATTTCTCCACCCTGAGCCCCTTACAGTGACATTTGGGATGGTACCAACTAGTCCTTGCTCAGAGCATGGGAGCCAGGATGTTGCAGCCTGGGCCCCTGCATTGCCCAGCTCAGGCTCTCTGTGCCTCCAGGCTGGAAACTCTTCATACAGAAAGGGCACAAGTCAGCCTTCAGGTCTGAAAGGATCACAGAGCAGAAAAGAGCCCATTTGGCTGGGCAGGTTGTCCTGGGGAGCTGGGCTGAGAGGAGCAGCCCCACTGCAGATTTGGGCTGTAGTAATGGGGAAAGATGCCCAAGGAGCTGTGGCGAGGCCAGGCAGAACCAGCATGTGCTCAAGAAGAATCCCCAAACTCTTTCTGTCACCTGAAACCCAAGCTAAAGGGTGCCTGATATGCAGCGAGGGGGCCAGTGCAAGCCTCTACTCCTCTGCCACGTCCCTGCCTATCCGTGCCCCCCACAACACGAGAATAACGAGAAGACAGCACCACGTCCCACACACACACACACCCACACACACACACACACCCCACAGGCAGTGCAGGGAGGTGTGGCAGAGCCAAGGCGCAGCTGTGCTGGACCAGAGACAGCAGAGCTGGGAGTGCCTGGGAGATGCACGGAGGAAGATGCTCAGCTTCCAGCACGGAGCTGTGCCAGATGCTGCTGGCCACTTGGGAAGCCCTGAACAAAAACATCTAGTCATGGGTGAGAGATGGGAGAAGAGAGAGAGAGAGCTGCTGCTGGAGGAGGTGGGAAGCAGTGATGGCTGGAGGAGGAAGGTCTTTTCTGCAAAAACACCTCCGAGGCAGGAAGCCCCCAGATTAACATGCTGATGGAGGCAGGGTGGGGGAGGTGGGTGCTCGCTTCTGCAGCAGAGGAAGAGTGAGAAAACACCAGCTACGACAGAAAAAAGAAGCCCCATCCCCACCCTGACACCCTTTGATCTGCTTTGAGTTCGTCATCCTGCTGGGAGAAGAAGGGATGTGCAAGCCCTTTTGGGAAAGGGCAAGAAGGATCCTGTAGGGTGGGATAGTCATTCCTAGTCGTGGCTCCTGGGGAATTTTCCCATTCCATCTGAATCTCCACACCCCCTGCAGGGTCGGGATCCTTGGCATCCTGCTCTAAGAGTGGGAAATCCCTTTAGATGAGATCCCCACCTGGGGGTTCCAGGCTGGGATAAGGGAGGTGGCCCAAGTGCTTTTGGTTGGAAAGGGTGACAGACAGAGCCATTCCCAGAGCTCTCCTCTTCCCTCCAGTAGGACCAAGCTCCAAAGTGCAGTGCCCCACCTGCAGGGACAGGGGTGCCCTGGCCAGCTGAGACTGTGGGCTCCTCCCTTCCAGAGGTAGATGGGACAGGTAGGAATTGCCTTCTTTGGGAAGACATGGTGGGCTGTCTGGCCACTGCTCAGGGGAAAAGTAGTTTAAGCTGTAGGGGAAGGCAAAGCAAATAGTTGGGGAAGGGCATTGAGTGAAGGTGAGAGCTGCACTGCTGCCAGGCACAAGCCAGGGGTGTCCTGGGAAGGCATCTCTGTAACCCAGGCCCAGCACCAAGGCTCTCCCCTGCCTGGGGGAGGCATTGGCTGGGGGCCAGGACTCAACTTAGGGGATTTTTGTGACGTAAATAGAAATAAATACTTTATAAATATAATCTTAAAGTACTGACACCTGATCTTACTCTGCTGTCTCTTGCAGAAACACCGGTAAGTTAGGGAAACCCCACATCTAAATTACCACTTTCCCTTTGCCTGAGGGCAATTCTTCCTGCTCTCCCAGCTCTGAGCTTTACTGCACTCCCATCTCTCTAGATCAAAGACCAGCTTTTAGCCAAAACCACCCTTCTCACTCCCTCCCCTCTGATAGGGACCTTTTTTGGAGCGTTTGATGGTGTGATATGAAGGTCACCCATGGAGGGACTGGCAGAAGATGGCACGTGCACAAGGAATCCTGCCCAGGCGGGTCCAGGCTTTTGCAGCTACAAACAGAAGTGAGTTTCCCCTGTGAAGCTGTGAATCAAGACAGATCCTTCCATGGAGCAGAGAGCTGGGGCAGCAGATGGTGTGAAAGATCAGATATTAACATGGGGAGTCTTCAGACAGAATCAGCTATCTTGATCCTGTTGGCAGACGGATGAGGTGGAGGGTGTTTTTCAGGTTAGATTCTCATCTGGGCTGTTCTCCTTCTGGACAGCTTGGATCTGATTTGGAAAACAAGGGACAAAAGTTGTTTAAAAATGTGGACAAGGAGAGGTATGGACTCCCAGGTTCAGCGTCCAGGCTGATACTTGAATCCAGACAGCTGGAGGGACATAGAATTAAAGTCTCTTTAGCCAGAGCACACAGATTTCTGTGCACTTATTCCTATTCCCCTAGTCCTGTCACTTGAGGTGATCTCAAGGAGTCCATGGGATGGTCTTGTTGAGGAATGAAAACATTTAGTGCAGGTAGCAAGGTGTGCAGCTGCGATTTGAGCTGCAGGGGTGGCAGCCTGAGGCAGAGCCTGTGAACTGCCCATCGTTTGCATAACAAAGGGCACAGGGACCTGCGGCACAGCCAGGGGAAGGACACTGCGAGAGTGCCCTTAGACTAAGAGGGTGTAAAAGCCCAGGGTTTCCTTTGTTCGGGGTCCTTTCTTAGAGCTCTAGCTGTTGTTTTTTTATTGCACCATGATTACATTATTTAAAGGATCGAGACGTCAGAGACTCTGCAGTGGGAAAGCTGTGACAGAGCCAGTTAGGAAACCCTGTCTGAGTGTGTGTGAGATGAGTGTGGAAGTCAAGCAAGGCCTCAGTTCCAGCTCAGGTGGTGCATGTGTGACTTTCAGAGTGGCTCCGGGATGGTGAGACAGGAAAGATTCCTAAACAGTCTCAAAAACTCTGTGGGATGGTCTCAAGAACAGAGGCCCTGCCACCAGGCACGGACAGCACAACACCACCTGGAATCTGGCCCTAGACTGAAGCATTTAAATGTGGATGAGCTGAATTCAAAATTAATATGGTCCATGTTCTCCCAACTGAAATCCCAGCACAGCTCTGCACAGAAGACACTCCCCATACCCGGCTGGGGCTGTAGGAGGAAAGCACTGGGAGCCTGCAGCCCCCCAGCACTGGCTTCTGTGCATCCCCCTTCCCCCAGCTGCCCCTGGTACCTTATGGATCCAGCCAGGAGAGGGTTGAAAGCGTAGAGCCAGTCGTGCATGTCTTTGTCACTGCTCGCCTGCAGCAGGATGCCCCGGTGCTCCGTGCACACCGCAAATGTGTTCGGGGTCTGCGGGGCAAGAGCCAGAGCTTAGTGCTTCACTCGGGGTGGGGGTGCAGAGTGGGGCTGGCTCCCGGTGCCCTACCTTGAGCATGGCCTGCTGGTCCTCGCTGTACTCCACCTGCGCCTTGGAGAGGTTGAGGATGGCCCTCTCGACCGCGTCCTTGTCCGTGTTGTAGATGTAGACGTAGGGACGCCGGACCACCACGAAGCGTTTCACCCATCCGTTGGTGTGAGGCTCCAGGAAGTGCAGGTAGCCCTTTTTGGAGACGATGGGACTGCAGAAGGGATCAAGGGAGGGGTGGGATACAGACCATGAGGAGGTGGCAGTGGTAGGGCATGGCCCCCCTGCCCACAGGGTCTCCCCTTGCTGGCTGCCCCAGTTGCTCCTACCTGACTCGAATCTCCTGGATGTCGGGCACCAGCAACCGCTGGGGCTCCTTCTCCTCCTCAGGCCGGCGGGCTGGGGACTTCTTCTGTTCTCCTTCTACCACAGGCTCCAGTTCGGGGCTCTCTGCCCTGGAGGAAACCTGGGGAGGTCTGGGGAAGGAGGAGAGGATGGAATGTAGGAAGAGTGATGGCTAGGGAACATCCATAGACAAGGACGGTGTTCCAGTGATACAGCTGCTCTCCTTGGGATATGTCACCAGAGCCTCCCAGCCAGCTTCTTACCTGACCTCCATGGCATTGTAACATCCTTCCACCAGTGAGGGGCAGGTCGAGGAGGGGGTGAGAGTGGTGACCCCAAGAGCTGGCATGGAAGGGTCTCTCATCAAGGTCACAGACATTTCAGACAGCTGTGGAGTAATGGAGGTGTGAAGTGGAGTTTCTGTGCAAAGCCAGGCACATGCCAAGGAGCAGGCTCCTGCTCAGACAGGGAGAGGCAAGACCCCTGGCTAGCAGGCTCCTCTCCTGGCATAGTCCTGAGAGGTCTGGGAAAGACCAGAGCAAGCAGGGGGAGCAGACACCCCAGAGGAGGCATGACTTGTGCCATAGTGCCCATCTGCCCCCACCCAGCCACACATGCCTCGCTGGCCCCACCAGCCCAGGGGCAGAGCAGTACCTTGCTCTCGCTGGCGCTGATGCAGACGTGGCTGTGGCTGTACTCCCTGTTGAAGGTGTGTGTGAGCAGGCGCAAACACTGCAGAGAGAGGAGGAGGAGAGTGGGGCATGAGGTACATTCCACCTCCCACTCTTCTTGGGCTTTCTCCCGCCACAACCCCCAGCCACCCTGTGGAAGCCACTTCCTGGCTTCATCCCTGCCAGCTGGGTTTGCTGCAGGATGCAGCTACCTTCACAGCCAGCTCCTTCTGCCTCTCGCTGGGGGTCTCAGGCGGAGAGGTGCGGCTTTCAGGTGCTCCATCAGCAGAGAGTGGGGAAGAGATGCAGGATGTGCTTCGGGACTCAGAATCCTCACTGGAGCAGGGGGACAGGGTCTCCATGCCCAGGCGCTGGGTGGTCTCCAGCTTCTCACGCAGTAACAGGTAGTGTCTTGTCTTCT